GGATGGAATGTCTGTTCATGTTCATCTGCATGTCTGTCTTGAGTGCGAGTGGCTGTGTCAGCTGTGCTGTGTTTGTGAGTGCACTGTGGCAGTGGTTCTCAGGGAGGCACAGGTTTGTGTGAGAGAGGGATTAGACTGCCAGCTGTTGAGCAGATGGAATGTGCTGTGTGGAGATGAGAACGATTGGGAGCCTGCAACTCTTTCTCTCTCTTCCTCCCACACGCCCTCCTCCCTCACAAACCGTTATTAGTGACTTTTTTTTCTTCTGAGATGTGTATGATGAAGATTTCTGTTTTATTTGATCACCTGGCAATATACTCTTTCCTGTTGTGCCTTGAAAGCAATATCTATGTTAATATAATGAAGCGTGTATTACAAAGTGCTTAAAAAGAACACTAGCACGTTTGATTTCCTAGCTGTAGTCATCTGGACTCCTATCTGTTGGTGTAGCCACAACTTCAGTTTGTCTTTCCTGATGATTTTCTGGTTGACTAACCATTGCTCTGTCATTTTGCACATTTTTGTATGGACTCACGGAACATCTCTGGCCCTGTAGCCTGCGTCTGTTCAACAACCGTCACTAATCAAGAATGTGCTGTTTCGTGTCGTCCCACCAGGGGGGAGTAATTTGCAGATTGTGTGTGCCTCTGCGCAAAGATCCACAAAAGAACTCTTTATTTTCTGGATGAAGTGCTTGAAAAATTCCAGGAGGTTTTAATCTAAAAGCAAACAGACAAATCAACCCCACTAACAGAATTTAGGACTGTGAAACTTGTTTATGTCTGACTGATCAGGCTGCCTGATAGTTGCAGTCTAGTTTTTTTATCTGTAGCCCTAATTCAGGATGCTAGCTAGAGGATGTGAGCCTGTTTTAAGTGCCTGTAGCAGCTCCAGCACTCGCACACATTCACAAACGGACGTGCAGACATGTGGGTGTAGTTACTGGCCTGACCGTTTGGCGTCTGCAGCTCTGTGGGTGTTCTTAGAGACTTTTTTTCCCCCAATAGTCTGCAAATTCAGTTTTGGATGTTTACCTAGCACCTCTTTATATACACATGCACACTCAATCACATCATTTGGGAGCTAAACACCCAAACACTCACACTGCAGCTCTAGACCACTGTCAGTTTGTTAAAAAAGTCCAGAGAGAGATTTTCATATTGATTTAAAGAGTGTTGTAGGGTCAAGTATGAGCTCTCTCATGACTCAGAGCGTAGCCTTTAAAACCTTTTGACCTTCAGCTTATTAACCATGTATGCAGTTCCTATGTGATGCTAAATAGTTTGTAAGGTGTTCAGGGTGTTTTTTAGCATCTTTCTATTTGGTTGCAGGGTATTATGGCTGTTTGTTACTAAGTAAGAGTTTAAGATGTATGGTTAGCTGGTCCGACAGTTAAAAAGCTGATTATAGCACGGCTAAAATATAGCAAATCTTCATAACAAGCAGGCGCTACACGCTAACGTTTACAACTTATAGTTAAGTTTTGATTTCTTTTTCCTCTTATCACATTCTCTTTCCTCTCATTCTGTCACTTCTATGTTGCTGGTTATATTAACTTAAAGGGTTAGTTCACCCAAAAATGAAAATTAAGTCATTAATTACTCGCCCCCATGCTGTTCCAACCCCGTAAGACCTTCGTTCATCTTCGGAACACAAATAAAGATATTTTTGATTGAATCTGAGAGCTGGATCAGTCCTAGATAGACTGCCTAAGGGACTGGCTCTTGACGGCCCATAAAGTCATTAAAGAAAAGGTTTAATTATTCCATGTGCCTACAGCGGCTCAATTATAAGTTTATCAAGCGACGAGACTACTTTTTGTGCGAAAAAAAAAAACATAAATAACGACTTTATTCCACTATTCCATTACTTCCTTATGGGCGCATGCGCGAGAACTGAGACGAGGACGTTCTCATTCGTCTACTTCTTGTTACTGGCTGCTCACCGCTTAGGAGTTTTACCGCCCCCTACCGTATAAGATGATGTGCTGATATAGCTGGAAGCGCAAAACTTTCTGTTTACAAGCAAAGGGAGATGCGCGCTGTACATGCGCTTTTCAATTTGCGTATTTTCCGCACTATAAGGTGCACTTAAAAGCCTTTAATCTTCTCAAAAAACGACAGTGTTCCTTATAATCCAGAGCGCCTTATATATGGATCATCATTTTATACGGTAGGTGGCGGTAAAACTCCTAAGCGGTGAGCAGCCGGTAACAAGAAGTAGACGAATGAGAACGTCCTCGTCTCAGTTCTCGCGCATGCGCCCGTAAGGAAGTAATGGAATAGTGGAATAAAGTCGTTATTTATGTTTTTTTTTTCGCACAAAAAGTAGTCTCGTCGCTTGATAAACTTATAATTGAGCCGCTGTAGGCACATGGAATAATTAAACCTTTTCTTTAATGACTTTATGGGCCGTCAAGAGCCAGTCCCTTAGGCAGTCTATCTAGGACTGATCCAGCTCTCAGATTCAATCAAAAATATCTTTATTTGTGTTCCGAAGATGAACGAAGGTCTTACGGGGTTGGAACAGCATGGGGGCGAGTAATTAATGACTTAATTTTCATTTTTGGGTGAACTAACCCTTTAAGCTCAGTCCCTTTTTTCCACATTCCTTATCCTCTTTTCCGTTCTCCCATCTTTGACCTTGGCCTATAATTGAAGTCAGAAACTCCTCTCCAGCCCAGATATCCAGAGAAGACACGAGAAATGAAGAAGGAAATTAACTTAAGCATGGTGCAGAACAGAATACAACTCTACTTTTAAAATGAGGGGTGTTTGTTTTTTTTCCCTCCTTTATTTATTTTCATTTATATACAGGGAAGCAGCATTTATTCAGAACGTGGCAGGAGGGCGAGACAGAGAATGAGCAGTTAGCCTCAACCGTCCGCTCCCTATGGAAACGACATGCGTGAGAAACCGACGTGAAGCTTTGGAAAGTCAAGTGTTGTGCTTGGAAGCAGCAATAGAAAGAGGTTCCTCGGAGTGCGGGAGCGGAAGGAGAGGAGCGGATGGACACACTGGAAGTGGACTTGATGGCTAGTTTGAGTCAGCATTGATGTCTTGATGTATTCCCTTGTGAAATAGGAAGTTCCATTAGGACATATCAACATTCTCGTCTATTTTAAATTGATTTCTTCCTTTTTTCTTTTCTTTTCTTATAAATGGGCTTAGTTGTGTGTGTTACAGCCATGCACCGTGTGCTGCTTCTTGCAGGTCGTATTAGGGGGAGCAACATTCTCATTCAGGAGACATTAGACTGTAACACTATCTTGCTACAGTATGTGTCTCTACAATGAAGACTCCATATTTCGTGTGAGGGTGGGTTTAAATGAGCTCTCTATGCCAAAAGCAAGTCCACCTTGTATTCTTCCATGTCTGCACAATTACTCATCACTGTTCATGAATATTTCAATGTGAGACAGACACACACACACACACGGAATTAGTAAGGTTTCCGTGTCTCGGGGAAGCCTGCGTGTCAACCTCCTGGGGTCATGTTAAGGTGATTGTGTATGACATCACTGTTGCCATGACTCATGAAGGCCCAGAGGTGTTGTGAACTCCCGGTGTGCTCTATACTTTAATAAATACACACATCAATCATACACATGTTATGGATTAGGTTGTGTTTATGAACCTGTTTTTTCAGCATCAGGTTAATGTTTCTGACTATAAATAGGAAATTTTATCTTATTGGTTCTATGACTGGACAAATTATAGCCATTATTCTGTGTAATCATAATTAATATGAACAAAGTAAGTATCAATTTTCTGATACTTACTTTGCATGCGTTTTTTGTATTATGATAGTCATGTTGTTTTATTGTTTCAACATTTCTCACATTGTCACAGTTTATTCGCTATAGTTTAGAAAATGGTAATAAAATATGACAAACTCAAATTTTACTGGTTTGGTCATCCTTCTGTTAGACTTTCTCACAAATGAATTAGGTTGAATAGCTGTCAGATGAGATCAATTTTATAATATGTATAATAAGTGACGGTTAACTTTTTATTTTGTTTTTTTTGCTTACATAAGTGAACTATAGTGTCCTGCCACCATTAGTAAAAAAAATATCAAAAATGATATCTGGTGTCTGAATAATTTTTGGTTTGACTATATATATGTGTAAGGTAATTTTTATAAATGATATACTTGTATCATTTATAAAAATTACTTTACACATAGATACATTATACCAAGGGTAGGCCACATGCACAAAAACTGATTTACAACACCCCAGAGAGTGAAATCGAGTAAAAGTTTACTCCCCTGAAGAGAAGAATCTGCTCATGTGGATCCTGTTTGTTTGGGTCTTCAGTGGAAATGATAAATTAGGGGTTAGCGAGCAGTTGTGGGTGTGCGTGTATTCACAGGCCAATAAAGATTTAAAGGTATTCTGTCAGACTGTCTGTCGCTAATGATCTGGTAGATTAAGTGAGCTAATCTGGCCTTGGGAAAATGAGGTAATTGAGCATTTTTTCCACATGCAGATTTCAAATTGGCATGGGAGTTGCGCACGAGTTATGGATGTGGTTCAGTAGAGAGACGTAGAAATGCAAGCATCCGACAGATCATGTCTCCGCTGTGCCACCGCTTTTTCAGTGGGGTCTGTGGTTATGAAATTTTCAATGTCTTGTTGTGTAAAAAATGTTGACAGAAGGCGAAAAACACCTTCTGTTTCTCCTCAAATTTATATTCTATTTTCAAATATAATTCTGTTTTCTCTGTTTTTATGGTTTATTTCTTCTTTCAGAAAGGTCCATTACCTGAAAAGATTATTAGTGGTTACAGGGATAGTTCACCTAAAATAAAAATGTATAAGTTGTCTACATGAGCATGAATAAATTGACACAATGTTCTTTATTTTTTGGGTGAACTTAACCCTTTAACACTTGATGTTTTTCTCCTGCTCCATTTCTGACTTAAGCCTGACCCCTGCTGATTCATGTCGGAATAACCCTCGTATTTTTCTCTCTTCTTCTTTCTCCCGGCTGCAGATCATGATTCAGAAGCAAAGAGAGTTCAGGATGTTCTTTCGGGAATGGAAAAACCACAGGTGGGTCTGGAATATGAGTTAAAAACCTCACAAGTGAAAAATACTTATGGTTTGGTAATGTTATCAGATAAACATGAGGTCCTTTAATGGCCAACAGAAAGTACAGGCTGCAAATACAAGTGGGCATAAAACATGACATTACATTATTAATTAAATGTATTTGTCATTAGGAGACGTTCAGTAAAAGTCACCAAGATCTTTTCATATTTGTTTACAATTACAAACGGTTCCCATTGCAGCCACACAGGGGCAGCATTTTCTTTTTTAGGTTCCACTGTCAAGCAATTGAGAAGTAGGTAAACATTTCCATCAAAACAATGTTTTCTGACCTCTGCTCTTTCTCCATCTGTTCACTCAGCCTGCTGCTCTTGCTGTTGTTTAGTTCAGAACTATCTAAGGACATACTGTCACTTTAAGTGATAATCCATAAGTGAAACTAACCCATAGTCATCAATCATCTGTTCTGTTTTGTGTTTTAGTTTGCATGCATTTGTTAGTGTGTGTGTGTGTGTGTGACATTTGAACAGCTGTCTCATTTACTCCCTTAGTGTAAGATTAATCCCTCATTATCATAAAATTAGCAGTAAAGAAATTAAAATCAGTTTGTTAACACTGCTGACTGAAAGGTCATATTTTATTATATTTAATAATAAATATTACGTAACACGTAACAACGTAACAACGTGCATCTGTCTGAAAACTACAATATTGTCTGTCTGCATATTACATTATAGCAAAACTGACATTTGATATTGAGTAGTCATAGTATGTTCTGCAGTACTTTGCCTCTCCTACTATACACTGTTTATAGTACATAAAAATGCCACTATATACACTACCGTTCAAACATATAAGTATTAAGAATTTAATACTTTTATTCAGAAAAAAAATCATCAAAAGCTACAGTAAAAATAGTCACATTGCGATAAAAAAATGCTGTTTTAAAACTTTTATTGATTTAAAAAATCCTGAAGAATGCTTTCCACTAAACATTAAATTGCACAACAGTCTTCAACATTGATAGTAATAAGAAATGTTTCTTGAGCAGCAAATCAGCATTTTAGAATGATTTCTGAAGGATCATATGACACTGAAAATAAAGCGTTGTCAACACAGGAATAATTTACGTTTTAAAATATAAAAGTTACTTTCAATTTTAATAATATTCCCATTAGTACTCTTTTTAATATTTTTGATGAAATGAATGTAGCCTTTGTAAGACGTTTGTTTGTGAAAACGTACTCCACAGTTTTGCAAGATATACCTGCAGCTCCATGAATGGGAGTAGATTTGGCATAAAACATAGAGTACAGAGTGAAAATAGCCTGACGGGTGCAGGCAGGTAGTGTGGAAAACATCTGAGCTGCAGTGTGTCCCAAGATGAGGCAATCTGGAAGGATGTGCAAGTTTGGAAGTAAATGACTTAAATCTGCCCTCATCCTCATCTCTGCAACATTCTCTAATGGAGCTGCCTTTCTTGTTCAGTGTCTTCATCAATCTTAAATTGAGTGTCCCACAGAGTAGAAACGCACTGGATACTACAGACCGGGGCCAAATCCTTTGAATGGCTGAAGTTTAGTGGCAAGCGGTGTTCTCAATATCACAAGCTCTCTCTACCACTTCATGCACTCCAACTTCTCATTATACTGTAGTTGATGCAGCCCAGGATTGAGTCATGGTACTACAGCACTAAGACATTGATGAAAAATAAGCAGATTTAATCATAATGTACAACTTTGACCAGTTGGTGGCACTGCACCCTAAATATACTTTACCCCATGGGCATGTTTTAGGGCCATACACTAAATTTCACTTCAGTATATGAAAGTTTTCCTTACCATGAACTTTGTGTCACTTTTTAAATAAATTTTAAATACATACACATACTATCTTTCAAAAGAAGCTTGGAGTCAGTTAGATTTTTTTGTTTATTCAACAAGGATGCTTTAAATTGGTCAAAGGTGACCGTAAAGACAATTATTTTAAATAAAAGCTGTTCTTTTAAATGGTCTATTTACCAAAGATATCAAGCATTAACTGTTTTCAGCATTGATGGTAATACGACATGTTTCTTGAGCAGCAAATCAGCATATTAGAAGGATCTCTAAAGGATCATGTGACACTGAAGACAGCTTTGCCGTCACAGGAATAAATTACAATTTTTAATTTGCAATTTACCTTATTTTTTTTTTGTCAAACTTGGTGAGCAAACATTTAAAAAAGAAAAACATTAATTGTTCCAATCCCAAGCTATTGAACGATATAAGTCTCAGAGCTTTTCAGTATCTCTGTGAGAAAGCCTGGTCTGATGGCAGCCGATTTGTTGAGAACATATTGCTGTAGCTTCAGAAGTGCCAGTTGCAATCCTAGCTGTGCACATCCGAGAGCAACAACCATAGCTTTTCCACAGACGTTTTTCACCTGCAGTTACTCTTGCCACAGGACAGATTGTGTTTGAGAGATTTGCTTCTGCCTGACTGAAGGTAGAGAGACATTTACAGCTCATTCATGTCAGTGTTATATCCTCATACACAGGGTTACACTGAATGACCTGTTATAGAGGAGTTCTACCCGCTCTGACTCTTTACGTGTATACCTTAATTTCTGTTTGACACACATAGTTATTTTAGCAGAGCAATTGAGTGGTTCAGATTGCAGGCCTAAAAACGGAAGGTAATTAATATTACCCATTTGTTGCCAGGTTGGGTTTTTGGAAGAGCAATTTTTGTGTTACGGATTAAAAAGTCTGTGGTTAAAGATTGAGGGAGGTTAAAGGTTGTTTGTTCTATTTTATCTTTGTACAACATTCATTACACTCAAGTCCTCGTGAGTCGTGTCTTACCTAGCCATGTTTTTTCGTTTGTTTATTGGTTGATACTCCTTTTTTTATTTGCCAGTCTATAATTCTGGTAGGTTTAGCAAATGAATAGTTTCAAAGTTGGGTTATGCTAACCTCAAAATGAAATGACAATCCATCAAACTCTTATCTAAATGACTTGCTCCTTCCAATTTTGTCTTAAATTGCATCTGGCTGCTTTAGTGGAGGTCTTTGTAGCACATTTGAAAGCTGATTTAGATTTAGCCTTAGAAATGATAGCATTGGATTAGAACAACGATTTGTTTTTCCTGCATGTTTGTACAGTGGTGGTTGACATGAAGTCATTTTTGATAGTGGTGTGTCCTGCAGTATTATGCTGATGTTAATCGAGAGACAAAATCGAATATTTGTACTTATTAAAAAAAATATTATATATACAAATATATGAACAGGAATAAATGATGACAGAATAATTGACAAACGTTTTCTTTAATAATAAAAATAAAATGACCAGTAATAATTAGAATGCACCTTGTTTTACATTTACAATTTTTTTTTATCTTTGTTCATTGTTTAAAAATAAATAAAAATCTATTTGTGTGCTTCACCTACCCACAGATTCAAATACACTTGACATGCTTAATAATATTGTTTCCAGTTCTACAGTTGATGGTGTTTGTTGTTCTGTGTTTGCTTCACAGGTTCTTAATGTCCAGGCCCGGACAGCTCGACTGACTTGGGCTCCACCAGCAGGCCTCCAGAACAGAGACAGGCACAGTAACGGACACCCCTTTACCTGCAGCTACGAGGTCACTCTCTCAGACAAAGGTCGTAACGGCCAGTACCGTGTCATTTATAGGTAAGTATATAATCACAGAGGAGCTGTGAAGTCTGCTCAGAATCCTTGAAGTCTTTATGTTCTCATAAATTAACAGTTCACCACAAGGGAGCAAGTTAGATATGAATACATCATCTGTCGAGCAGATAGAATTATTGGATGCAGCCTGTTCTCTTACCAGGACTTGTATGATTTAGTATCCAGAAAGCAGACAGGAAAGATAATCAGACCTCTCACATCCTGTCATCATTCGTTTGAAGCATGAGTCTCAAAGCATGACTCCAGACTAACATATGAGAGCAGTGGTGCTGGTGGAAAATATGGAATATTACACTCTCCTAAAGGAATTATCTAATCAACCAATCACATGGCAGTTGCTTCGATGCATTTAGAGGTGTGGTCCTGGTCAAGACAATCTCCTGAACTCCAAAGTGAATTTTAGAATGGGAAAGAAAGGTGATTTAAGCAATTTTGAGCGTGGCATGGTTGTTGGTGTCACACAGGCCGGTCTGAGTATTTCACAATCTGCTCAGTTACTGGGATTTTCACGCACAACCATTTCTAGGGTTTACAAAGAATGGTGAGAAAGGGGAAAAACATCCAGTATGCAGCAGTCCTGTGGGCGAAAATGCCTTGTTGATGCTAGAGGTCAGAGGGGAATGGGCCGACTGATTCGAGTTGATACAAGAGTTACAACCGAGGTATCATGCCTTGTTACCACTGTGCAGGCTGGTGGTGGTGTTTTCTTGGCACACTTTAGGCCCCTTAGTGCCAATTGGTGCCAGTGCATTGTTTCTGACAATGTCCATCCCTTTATGGCCACCATGTACCCATCTTCTGATGGCTACTTCCAGCAGTATAATGCACCATGTCACAAAGCTCGAATCATTTCAAATTGGTTTCTTGAACATGACAATGAGTTCACTGTACTAAAATGGCCACCACAGTCACCAGATCTCAACCCAATAGATCATCTTTGGGATGTGATGGAATGGGAGCTTTGTCCTCTGGATGTGCATCCCACAAATCTCCATCAACTGCAAGATGCTATCCTATCAATATGGGCCAACATTTCTAAAGAATGCTTTCAGCACCTTGTTGAATCAATGCCACGTAGAATAATCCTTTAGGAGAGTGTATATTATATTATCATTCAACGCCACTTTTGAGTGTTTGCCTATGTTTTTTTTTCCCACACACTAAAAGAAAATGACAGAGCATAATCTAAAAGAATGGGGCAATCTTGAAATTACACAAAATAGTCGCACCAGCAGGAAAAAAGGTTGCAGGAAACCCTATCAAGGCAAAACCACTCAAAGTTTTTTCCCTTGAGCAGTTGTGCTCAATAATAACAGCATCCTTAATGAAAGTCAATTTTGCACTTTGGAGAGCACAACTCTGTTGTTGGATCCATTAAGGTCAGTAACCATCGTGTGTGTGTGTGTGTTTTCAGTGGAGAGGAGTTGGAATGCAATTTAAAAGATCTCAGACCAGCAACAGACTACCACGTAAGGTAAGTGCGGCTCTCAACTTCATTTCTTGCCGTGTGCAAGAACATGTGCTTATGAGTAGTTAAACTATTACTGTTATTAGAGCCCTTTATCCCAGAAATCCATGCTATTTCTGATGATCAGTATTGTCATTACAGTGATCCAGTTTTCTGCAGATTTCTTTTTTTTACATAATCGAAGTTAACGTTAATGGAGTATAAGTCATAATTTTTTAACTTCTTCTTTTGTTTAATGACCTCGACTCTACCTGAATGTCCCTCTAATGGTCTGTCTGTTACCTGTTATTAATTGAGCCGAAAGTGCTGTGCATCACAGCGTTGGAAAGGTCAAGCTTAAATATGATGCATGTACTGGTCCTCAAAGAACCTTTCAAGCCCACATCTGCTGTACTCTTTGCATCCAGGGATAGGCGATATCTGTTCTGTCACCGGGAGCTCTTGTTAATAGAGAATCCAGTGCTTGGAGTCGGTTTGTCTGGATCCTCATTAAAATGCATTGAAATTGTCAGCTGAATTTTCGGTTGACCTTTGAACCCTGGTAGCAGTGGGACTAGTGTCTGAATATATGTCCTGATTAAGGGATAGTGGGAGACTGTCTGTCTCTGCAGTCGGATGTAACCCTGAACGTTCTAAGAGTGATTATTTGATCGCTCTTTATAAATCTGAGTGACCTGTTGGGAAATGGCACGTGTGGCCAGATTAATTCTGTCCCACCTTTTCCAGCACAGGAATAAGCGAAAAGTGAAGTAAAATGCTTTATGACTCTTTGTAAAAGCAATTTTCTAGAATTGTAAAAGCAATGTGCACTCAATCAGAAAATACATTGAAAAAGGCACAGCTGGTACTAGAAGGTCATGTATTTTATTATAGATAAAATGTACACCTCGAATGCACTACGTTTTTTTCTTTGGAAAACACAAAAAGGTTATTTTCCCCCCTCACTGTTCCTGCTTTAAATGTAGTGTAGATAATTTTGAATGAACTATGCCTTCTAAATGTGTGTGTGTTTGTCTTTCTCAGAGTGAATGCTGTTTGCAATTCTATGAAGGGTCCGTGCTCTGAGGTGGGGTCCTTCACCACCCACAGCAGTACCCCAGACTGCCCGCTGCCCCCTAAACTATCCCACCGCACAAAGAGCACGCTCACCCTACAGTGGAAGGTGAGACTGCGGTTTATCTCATACTTGTATGGAAGTTATCTGTTCATCAGACATATAGGACTAATTCTGTTAATTCTTCAATGAAGGTACATTTAAACTTAAAGGTGCTGTATGTAACCATTTTACTCTAGTAAAGCATAAAAATACCATAGCATGTTTCATAAATATCTGCAAACATATTAAGTTCATATTACTTCTAATTTGTTTCTTTTTATTTCTCTCCTCACTTAGGCACCAGTTGATAATGGATCGAAAATCACAAGTTACCTTTTAGAGTGGGATGAGGTATTTAATTTTTATTTATTTTTTTTGTTGTTAACAGGAAAGACTTTACAATTTTTGTTTTTAAATAATCATTAGCATTTGGTTTCTATTTACACTTTTTATTTTTATTTTTTTTGGCAAAAAGTCCTCCTTGTTGAATTGCAGTCAGCACTAATGACGCCTCTTTGAAATCAGCACGGTTCATTCACTCTGTTTAAAGATTCATATCTGAATGATGTCCCCACTTTCATCAAAGACCACAGCAGTCTGTTGTCACTCATACATTTCTCACTCCAGCCTTGATTGCAGTGGTTTTGAGAAGCTGAATGGCTTCAGTGATTTTATGCAGTGACTTGTACTGAATATATGTGTTATTCTACTTTATCTAATAGGGCAAAAAGACCAACAATTTCAGAGAATGTTACTTCGGAAGCCAAAGGCACTACAAACTCACTCATCTGTGTCCAGCTATGGCCTACACATTTCGGGTGGCGGCACGCAACGACATAGGAATGAGGTATCACTGCAGAAGCGTATGCATGGACTTGGGTTGCTTTCACACTAGCACTTTTGCAGCGCACCCAGGTTCGATTGCCGTTAGATTTCGATTTGTTTGGATGATTTGAATGCTGTTTTTACACGGTACGGTTTGTGTAAACTCTGGTGTAGTTCGCTGCTGATATGAAAGCAACTGTACTAAATTGTGGAAGTGAACTGCTATTTATGACACATGATTTGATTAAAACGGTGTGTTTGTGCGTGTTCTTTCTCACTTTAGAACTTTTGCAGTACATTTGCGGCAGATTGACTCATGTGCCGTTATGGACTGACGCTTTGAAAACAAAACTGCAAGTTCAAAAACCAAAAAAGCTGTAAATTTTGCCACCTTCTCTTATATCGTTGTTACCAATCAACAAGAGTAAACGGCTATTGCTTTAATGATGCAAACGTACCGCTCAGTTCGGACCCAAATAATATAATTTGAACACAGTCCAGCGGGTGCAGAGGGAGGGAGGAGCAATCGAACTGCGGTTCGGACCAGGCAAATCAGAATCAAAGTGTGAAGGCACCTTTAAAAACAGACACACTTTTGCTAATTTTTGTTTGCGTACTCCCACTACACACTAAAACACATTAACCTTTAGGCTTATATAGTATTTAGTATGGATTATGTGCAAGTTGGGATACAGCCAAAGATTCAAGCATTGTTTGATTAACTATGATTTGAGCTTTGAATTAGAAGGAAATATGAGTTGTCGTACAGGATGCATATTAAACTTTTTGTGTGTGACAAAACAATCCCATTATCCGTCTGTAATCTAATCCTATCACCATCCCTCAAGTCATAATGGAGGAGGAGAGCCATAAAGTCACCTTGATGCAGAAGAACAGACAGCCAATGGAGCATTCTCTCTCTCTATTTCTTCCCCCCCCCCCCCCCTTTTTTTTCTTTTTCTTTTTCTCTATAGATATCTCTCTATAGATATATAAAATATTAAAACATAGAACAAATATTTATACATAAGTTTTTTTTCCGGATATAATTCCGTTATTGAATATCTATAGAATATATCTATAAAACAAGTAATGTTTGGTCCAGTGGGCAGACATGTTAAGGGTCATCACTCTGAATACAGCACCATCCCTCGTCTCCTCCATCTCCTGACATTAATACCATAGACGCATTTGGAGAGTGAAGCAAGTAACACTGCTGAAATATGAGACTCCACCTCCAGCAAACCACCTTTCTCCCAGTCTAAATGGATATTTTTTATTACTTCCTTAACTGAAAGAAGCTCATTTAACATCTCCTGTTCCCCAGTGGCAGTTATAGAGACTCTCACCCAGTAAATACTGAGGGCTCTAGTAAACTTGTCACAACCAGTTAATTGGAAGAAACTAGATTTAAGGCCGCTATCGAGAGGAGAGGAAAACTATTCAAATTAAGTCAGCCTGCAAGTTATACATATTGGAGCTGTGTTAAAAATAATTCAAAGTGTCAGCTCTGCGAGGAATGCAAATGAACACAGCTTTTGCAATAAGATGTTGAGGCTTTTGCTAAGTTTATACAAATGACATTTACACGTCCTTCATTGAGGATTAAAAAAAAAACGGAAAAACCCTCATTCCTAGCTGTTTTACAGCTTCCTTTATATGAGTGTGTGTGTATATATCATTTTCTGTCTCCTCTCTTGTTTGTCAGTGGCTTTAGTCCTGAGGTGGTCTTCTACACGACTGGAAGTCTGCCCCATTTGCCCCACGCTCCTCGGCTGGTGCGTGCCGGCATCACATGGATCACGCTGGAGTGGAGCCGGCCAGTTGGCTGTACCGCAGAGGAGCCCGTCACATACAAGCTGGAGATCCAGGAAGAGAACATTGTACGTCATTTAGATGGCATGACTATACATACTCAAGTCCATACTTTTGGTTCCATGGCATTTGGTTGTGTTGGAAATTTTCAAAAAATATTTCAACCAGATATTTATGACATTTGACTCTTTCCCATCACTACTTGTGTAAAATGGTGACGTCAGTTCACTGTTTTTGTGCTCATTTCTGCAGGGAACAGAGTTTCACCCAAAGTACACTGGACAAAACTTGACATGTACTGTAGAGGGCCTGAAGAGAAGCACGCAGTATAAATTCAGGGTGAGTGAATGCATATTTGTCGTCTTTTCACAATATCATAAATAAATATAGTGTGTGATGTACAAAGTCATAAGTTTGATAAGTTTATAAGTAGACGTGTGTCATAAAAAAAATCAATCATAAAAATTTGCTAAATTTTTTTAATTAATTATTTTGTTTAATACTGTTGAGTCCCTTTTGTGATGATCTCATCATCATTGTGGAACTTTGAAACATCAATGTGCAGAGCATACTGGGAATTGGGCTGCTTCACTGCTTAGGATAAGCCAAGGACTCCAAAATGTGTGCACATAAATTAAAAATCAAATAGTGTAGCATTTTCAGTTTTGGATTTTGAAGTGCAGTCAAATTTTGGCTCTCATCTGGTTAGGACATAAAATATAGAGAATAATGACTAAATCTTTTAAAAATGATTCTGCAACAAAGAGAGCCTGTTCACTCGGCAGTCTCCGGGCAGCTGCAGTATATCTGGCATCCAAGACTAATGGGGGAATCCCGAAATCTCAAGAACTGCTTGCCGAACTCACAATTAAATAACACACTTCATGTCAGTGTGAAGTGATGGACATGTACCGTCCCATAAATCACGTTTCTTATTCTCAAATAGCGAGAAAAAAAAATATTTTGAATGCCGGACTTATTCTGCCATATTGCAAGTTTCACTTTCTAAAATGGAAACAGGCCGTGCTATGCATATATTGTTTATTTTTGCTTTTTTTTTTGGCCAGCACTCTTAAAATTAATCAGAATATACATTGAGTAAAGCCTGCTAATCCTCATCCTCACTGAAGTTGCACTTTCTCCAATACAAGTAATACAAGTAAATATCTTTGTATATACTGTACAAAGTCTTTGTTCTGTGAGGAGTATGTAAACTTATTATGCTTAAAGCTTATTGATTTGGTATGATGTGTGAAATTAAAGATTGTTAGTTAAAAGAAAACCTCAATAAATATTAAAGAGGTGCATGTGTCTGTTTTTGTAGAGAAAAATGCTTTCTCTGAATTACTGGTCAAATATTGATTGCCAAGTCATAGTGACCTCATCATGTTTTGGTCAAGCATTTTTGTACTAGTTATCAGCTGTGTTTTGACACATGCTCTTTACAGTCACACAGTGTTTTGTTTGTTGTGCAGGAAGATTGTTTGCGTTACAGGGACACCTGACAATTTAAGGCTAGAGTCATACATTGTTAATTACAATGGCAGCTAACTGATTTAACCTTTCTCTGTGCTCCACTGACTCATACCGCAGTTGTTGTTTTTTTTTATCATCACAAACATTTTCTTCTGTCACCTTCATGTAGAGAACTCTCCTATCCAATTATGAGTGAACCGCAGCCCACGTTAAATGCTGCTGTAATGCAGTGAGTGGGTCTGGCTTAAGTGCTTTCACAATTAATAGTAATTCCTCTGAATGGTGCGCACATCTCCCGGGTGTGAGTTTTTTTTTTAAGTGAAGGCACCCATTAAAGCGGCAGGTGAAAGTAATGGGAGTGTGTAAATGTGTTATGTCATTACCTCTGTGGTTGTGATCAGTTGTTTGCGTACAGAAGCTCTTTAGTAGGCTGTTTGCAAAGGTTTCTATTTTGGGGATAATCGTACATATTATGTGCATGAACATGAGTCTAAATCAATAATCTAAAAAAAAAACAGATTTTTTAAGAAAAAATAATAATAATGATCAAGAAAAAACAGTCCGATTTCTCAGTAATTTTATGATATGCATCATGGATGTCTCTTTTTTGCCACTTTTCGAAACTTGTAAATCTTTTGTAATGATTCTCTGACAAAAAAAACATTCCTACACCTTTCATTTTTTTTTCAATGTAAAAATTAGGGATTAATTAGGGAAAGTACCCAAGTACGATGATAATGAAAATACAATAGTTGTGATACTACTTTTATTTTATTTTTAAAGTAACGTTTTTCATATCTTTAAATGTAATACACATTTATAATGCTATATATTGTTCTATATTACTACCTTGTCAGTAAATTACAAAAAAGGAATTTCAAATACAACGGCTGAAGGAGTGACAGTAAATTTGACATCTTTCTCTCTTCTGGCCTACGTCAACAATCAATCTCTCGACATTTTTTTCCCTATTTTTGGTCGTGGATGGTCGAACTATCGCAGATTTTTATTTCTTTTGATGGGAATACAAAAGTGACATTTGCTGTCATCTCCCGTTCCCTGCTATAGAAGTTTACTATACTGTGACGACATCCATTTCTTAGAACACCAGAAATGTGAAAAGGGTCCATTGCTCGTAGTTAGACTTGAAGATTTGAATGAAACCCATAAGTTAATGATATCTCAAATTATGACATTTAACAAGAGTTCTTGAGCTATGATGTTAACTGGACAAAAAGGGTGGCAAAAAGCCATTACTGTACAGAATTAAGCCTCTCCTGTTTTGTTTTTGTGTCTTGCAGCTCATAGCCTCTAACTTGGAGGGCAGAAGCAGTCCCAGTGAGGTGCTGGTGTGCAACACTAGTCCAGACAAACCTGGACCCCCCTCCAGACCCTGCATCGTGGGCTCTATCAGACCCTACAGCTTCAGTGTCAAATGGGGTATGGCTGTTTGTGCAACAAAAATATTCAGTTGGAGTTGTTGCATTTGCTGAGTTGGGTTCTGGCTGTTTTATCTGTTTTGCATTTGAGCTCAAACTTTGGGGCTTAAATGAGCTTGAGCTTTAATCTTGGAAATTGAGAATAAATGTCAGAAAATATTTAATATTCTATCTACTGTATATAATATATGTAATCTATCAATCAATCAACTTTTATTTATATAGCTCAATAAAAGCAACAGTAGTTGGCCATTGTGCTGTACAAAACAAATAATAAAAGGAGTTTACATAAAAAACGCCAATCAGAAAAAATTCAATATTCAAAATCAAGGACAGTTGTACGCCTATGAAAAGAGGTAGGTTTTTAACTTCGATTTGAAAACCGACTCTGTGGATAATAGTCTTAAGGATAGAAAAACACTATTCCACAATTTTGGACCAACAATAGAACCGGTATTGCTTCAATCCTATCTGATGTGAGTCACAATACCCCTCATTTTGATGTCTTCCTTTGTGATGCGCTACTTGAGTTCTCCCACTTTCCAGTTTAGTTCTTTGTTTGCAGAGGAGAGTATGACGAGGCCTGCGGTTGTATTGTGCTCTCAGCATGATAAATGGCAATTTTGTTTCCCTGCAGTAATGAACCAAATGGTAGATTTTAGACAGCTGCAATGAACTTCAAAAGTGCAAATGCCAAAAATTTAGTTTAGACTCAAAGTATAGACTTGGAGAGTTTTTGCTCAGTCATACAACAGCATCATAAAAATCTGAATACCCTAAGATCATGAGAAATAAAATGTTCCTTTCAATCTTTTGAAATATGAGTTATACTAGTATGTACAATACCTTGCTGCAGGTTTTGTTTTTAACAGTAGTAAAAGCTGGCCCCAAAAAAATCTTGTGAAACTGTTAATCACAAGAGTTTTTTTTTTTTTTTTTTTTTTGGTGCAAACAACATTACTATTACCATTACATTACTAATTATATTGCTTTATATTGCTTCAAAATAATTTGATATTGCTTTATCTGTTATGTGCGGTACCCTATTGTACTCTTAAATAACAGCTAGTATTCAGTCACTGTTGTTTGGGTACTTTTGTATGCATTTTTACGGTAAGGACATCTCCATATATGTGTGTATATTATATAAATCCAGTCTGCATGTCACACTACAGATCCTCCACAAGACAACGGAGGTTCAGAAATCTTAAAATACCTCTTGGAGATTTCAGAAGGAAATTCTGATGGTATGTATTAATGTATATGTAATTGTGTTCTTCACTGTCATTCACCATCTTCCTGCATGTTTAATTATGTTTTGTCCCTGGTTAATTACATCTCAATTTTTTTATTTCAAGTCTTTATTTCTTTTTCCATCTAGAAGCTTTTTTTCCCCTTTTTCACGTAACATTTTTTTTAGAAAAACACAAGATAATTCCGTAATTAATCTTCTTGTGTTCTCACGCTGTCCCATCTGTACTTCTATTCTTACACAGATACTTCATTAGTGCTGTCAGAGCTTCTATTTCTCTAAAAAGGAATTTCATATAGCCATAAATACTGAATGCTTGAATGTTCATTGATACCTATGTGTTTTATCTCACCATGGATTAAGTAAACTTTGGGAACAGTTGAGGGTTTGCATTGATAACTGACTGAGTAATTTCCCTGCAAATGTTAAACTCTATGACGCCTTGTACTCGGCAGCCAATCAGTGGGACATTGCATACAGTGGGCCTTCCACAGAGTGTGAGTGTGAGGATTTGAAACCCGGCACAATGTACAGACTTCGCACCTGCAGCATCAGCACAGGTGGCCATAGCCAGGTAACTCAAATATATTACAACAGCTGTACACCACATCGGTCCAAATGGACTCGTCAGAAATAAATGCATTTGGAAAGCATGAGAGACTATGGCTGTATATTTGTAGGAAAAAGAAAAAGTATGTGGATTTTAATTCACAATAATATAGAAACAGACGATAACTATTTTTAATCATTAATTTTAATAGATAATTTTTCTGTTTATTGAACACACAATTTAAATAGTCAGTGCAGAGTGGAAAAAGTACGGATTTCACTCAGAATTAACTACAGAATTAACTTCCATTAACCTTTTCTAATGTAACTGTGGTACACAAAGTTCAGGAGAAATTTTCAAACTGTGTTAGCAGTAAATTAAATCAAAACATATCATTGCTTGTTTTGATGTTGTGACTTTTGATTGCATTTTATTACATTTTATGGCCTAATTGTGTATAAATTCAGTCCTAAATGCACTATATACTCTACTGTACAAATGTTTGAGGTAGATAAGGTTAATATTCTTGAAAGATGTCTCGGATGCCCATAAGGACTGTAGTTATTTAATCAAAAATATTACAAACCAAAATAACTGTTAATTTATTCCTGTGATGATGGCAAAGTCACTCCTGTCTTCAGTGTCCCATGATCCTTCAGAAATCATTCTAATATGCTGATTTGGTGCTTAAGAAACATTTCTTATTATTATCCATTTTAAAAACACTTGTGCTGCCTAATATTTTTGTGGAAACCATAATACATTTTTTCCAGGATTCTTTGATGTGCAGCATTTATTTGAAATAGACAAAGGCCTTTGCTGTTATTATTGGCCAATATAATGTGTCCTTTCTGAATAAAAGTATCAATCTTTTTTTTTTAATCTTACTGACCTCAAACTTTTGAACAGAAGTATAAATTACATACTTTTTGCTGCAATTATAGATACATAATTGTTATGCTTGTGTCCTTGCAGTGCTCTGAGAGTCTGCCTGTGCGCACACTATCTGTAGCTCCAGGACGTTGCCAGCCTCCCAGAATTGTGGGTAAAGCCAAGCACAAAGAAGTGCACTTACGATGGGGTAAGATTCTGAATTCGTAAACTCTATCCTTCCAATACATCACACTTCTGAGAGTTTTTCGTTCCTTAGTCTCCATTTCATATTCACATTTGTGCTTTTATACAAAACAATATACAATGTATTCAAGGTACATTTTTAGGACAACTTCCTTGGAAATCAAACCCACACTAACACAATGCTGCATCAGTTACAAGATCAAGAAACATTATTAAGTTGGTAATTTACATTGTCAATTTACATCACATTTCACCAAGCCACTCTGTGGCAATCCACAAAAATAAACCCTTTTGTCATATCCAGAAACAGCATATGATCAACTTTCCCACCATGTTTGCTACATATCCTCAATGTACACATATTTTCCAGTAGTAGACTAGAATGACTCTCTAGAAGTGCACTTGACTCATTGACTTCCTGTGCCAGATCTATCGGTAGGTAGTTAATAGCTAAAGGCTGTAGCGGGAGTGAGTTCAGTTCTGGGTCTGTGAAGCTGCTGATTCCAGACTTTCTAAGTGAACACTTTGGATTCAGGCTTTTGGACAAGAAACTTTGAACTGAAATTGTGAAGATTGGTAAAGCTTGATATTACAAAGAAGTGGCCAAATCTGCTATGTCTTAGAAAAACTTAAACAAAGATGAATTGAACCTGTAATTTCTGTGGTACTGAAGTGCTTTGTTTCTGTCCCTCGTCTCAGACTGTCCCTCCTCAGAGGGGGCATGTGAGGTGAATGAGTACAGTTTGGAAATGAGGGAGGGAGAGTCGGAGCCCACCGAGGTCTATCACGGCTCTGATCTGGAGTGCACCGTGGGCAGTCTGCTTCCCGGCGCCACCTACAGTTTTCGCCTGCGTGCTGCCAACGAGGCAGGGGTGAGTGCTCAACAATTCAATAATCAAATTGTGATTCTTCATTTGTTTTCTAAAGCACCACCACTAATAATAATAATGCAAAAATTAAATTAAAGCTGCAGTCCGTAGCTTTTTTGGGTTAAATATTATCCAAAATACATAATACACAAAACTCTCTGCTTGCCTTAGCTCGATTTAAAACGGTAAGCTTGTAATAATGTTTTTAATTCCAGTGGTACTGGTGGATTTCAGCGGGAGATTTGAGCATGTCTTTGTGTCATTATGTCACATCTGTACACAAAAAGGAGGAGTCTCGGCTAGTATAAACTATATTGGGTGTAAGGATGTTGGAGGTGGAGATTTATAGCCTTTTCTCACTGCACTTGATTTAATTAAACTTATCAATTTGATGGCGGATCCAGAAAGGTTTAAACGACAATCACCAGTGATTCACACACTGTAAAATGCAAAAGACTTTGTTCGGACTTCGGAGTGGCTACAGAAAAAAAGAGACTGCAACCGGCCCATGCGAAAACAAAGATATATATCAGAAGGTCATTACATGTAGTCACGCAATGCTGACGTTATTAACATTAACAATTTGAGAACAAAGTATAATTCGCACAGCTTTGCGTGATATGATAAGCGATATTTACTGTAAATTCAATCAGCGCAATTTACTGCAATGTCAGAACCAGTACAAAAGTGGATGTTACTTGTTCAGATTACATATTCCAGTGAAAATTATTATGTTGGTCATACTTTCAAAAAGAATAATCTGGGATTCTGAATGCCAGTATCAACACCAGCGTGGTGAATGACAGCCGTACACCCTCCTCAAACGTGTTCATCCACGCTGTGCCTTGTCGAAGTACAACTGGCATAGAGTTAATAACTCTGCGAAAAACTGCAGTTGCAGATTTCAAACAGAGATGGCGACAGAGAAAAAACTGCATATTGCAGCTTTAAAAAAAACATGCAGAAATTAATTGACTGCTCTAATTGACTAGTCAGTTGTTAGACAACCATCCTGATCTATCCCTACCATAACGCACTTCAGGCTCAGTTTTCAGTTAATCACAGCAGTTCTTCTATTTATCGCATGAATCGTCTAAACCAGCCAATCATTATTTGAATCCATTTGGAATTAGAAGAACCAGTCTAATTCTAATTATGACATAAAACGTTGAAATTGTAGTTTTATTGAGATAAAAAGTCGAAATGGAGATTTAAGTCGTAAATGACGTCATAATTATTACAGTTTTTTAAGCAAAATTAAGCAATACTTAGTCAATAATGACCTGTCAATTCCACTTGTACAATACAATACAATACAATATTTTGATAAATTGATTATTTTTAATGTCCTGTGCATTATTTTTCTTATTTTTTATTTTTTTTCTGCTTTGTACAGCACTTTGTACAGCACCTGGCTGTTTTTAAATGTGCTCTATAAATAAATATTGTATTGTAATTCCACTTGTCAAATTGATTGTCTCAATTTCAACAGCTAATGTCATTATTTTAACTTTGTATTGTACTACAGTACATTTTTATTTCATAGTTTCACTTTTTAACATTTTTTTATCTAATAATTACGACTTTTTAGTCTCTTAGAGTGACTTACAGTACGTATATATACTATGTTAATGATTTCTCCTTGATTCTTCTCTCAATATGCTCAATGTTCAATCCAGAAGTGTTCAGGAAGGCAGAGGTCTTTTTTTCGCTTTATCTTGTTCTTTGTTTGATTTAAGTAGTTTCCTGTTTCTTTTGCAGGAGTGTTAATACAGCCTTTCAGAGTTAGCTCTTGAGCCAGAAGACTGAATTTAATTCTTTTCATTGTTTACTTTTCATTGTTTGTGTGAGGCAAACTCCCAAAAGTGAAGAATCGATGCGTCTCGTATCCGATTGCGCTACTGGAAACATGCTTTGATTTCACAAGGGTGTAATGCAAGATTGGCCCGGTCTTAAGTGTTTTATTTGTTTTTCACATTGTATCCTGATAGAAATACACCTATGAGACATTTCATGTCATGTATTGAATATTAATTTGCTCTCTCTCTCTCTTTCTCTTTCTCATTTGCTCACAGTATGGGCTGTTCTCTGAACCAACAGAAATAACAACCGCAGCTGGTCCTCCCAGCCAATGTGCGGCCCCATCCCTTACCTTAATGTCCAATACCTGTGTGCTGGTCAGCTGGGAGGTAATTTATCATTTTTTAAATCAGGCCCATCAATAATAGGACATAGATCATACATTAACACATTAAACTAAGAAATACTGTCAGTATTGATGGTCAGATAAGCTGAAGTACAAGCAATCAGCCAATAATTTGACTCTTTCAGAGTCCAGAGAGCTCAGGGGCCGACATCTCTGAGTACCGTCTGGAGTGGGGCCGAGAGGAAGAGCCCATGGAGCTGATCTACTGCGGCCCTGACACGCAGTGTGAGATCTCAGACCTGACACCTGCAACTCATTACTACTGCAGACTACAGGTATTACTGTCACTGGAGGGTTCATTTACACCATGTTTATTGTTCAACAACTCCTTTACAGTGTGGAACAATTTATTGCTCTCTAAAATGCACCTTTCTTACACTTTCATAACGCCTTTTTAATTGTATTAGAAATGTCCTGTGATTTTGACTTGATTTGTAATGAATGATATTGCTATAGTGATATGAGAAGGTGCATTCCCCTTAGGAGTAATGGTTTCATTAACACTTTTACATGGCTGCGGTGTGTCGCTCTGCTGCAGCCTCACGACTCAAACCAAAAATTAGAAAAGTTGGATTAACTTTGGAAAGACATTTGTGCCATGCGTAACATATTAGGGATTTGCTCTTGGCTATTTTAGCCCATTTAATTATGACTAGAGTAGTAAAAGTATGACAGGAAAAGTTGAAAAGAACAAGGAAAGTTGCCGCTTCATTAACTGCATCATCTTGCGCACTGAGGCCGTAAAAAGGTTCCTGTCATTATGCTGTAAATAAATGAGCTTGTGACAGTCATTTCGAGATGATACTATAATGCCGAAGATTAACAGCATAATGATCTCCGTAATAATTTTCATTTATTAGGAAATATTGTCATGCAGCTCAAAATGATATACAGAAACAGAACAAAATGAATAACTCTTAATTTTTAGGTGACATTTATTCTTACTGCACAAGAAATCACATTAGTGCTGTCAGTGGATTTAATGATTTAATTGTGATTAATACAATATTTTTTTTTAGGGAAAGGAAACTAATTACCACGCCTAAGTGTAATTATGTTTGGCAATGTGTCATTTGCTGTAATTTTTTAGAAATCACACTGAAGTGAATAAAATGTCATAATGTAAATAAATGTCAAAAACCTTGAACCTTATTAAATATCAATTTAATTTATTGACAGCCCTAAAACAAATATTTTTGTATAAGCAAGTTAAACCTTGTCCCTCTCTTTAAAGGCGGTGAATCAAGCAGGTGCAGGACCGTACAGCGAGCACACAAGCTGTCAGACCCCTGCCACCGTTCCCGACCCGGTCTCAGTGTTGTGTGTACTTGAGCACGATGCCACAGATTGCGGCGTCTACTCACCTTCCACATGTCTGGCTTTGAAATGGGACGAGCCCTGCAACAATGGAGAGGAGATAAGGTCCTACACTCTTAAACTGGGAGAGCAGCTCATCAGCTTGGGCACCAGCACCTGCCATGTGCTGCAGAACCTCCAGCCTGACAGTGAATACAGGTGTGTACATACACACTTAAACAAACAACCATGAACCATTCAGACACCTCCACTAAATCACATTTATCTGCTGATTTGCATAAGCACTCTGTGATATGGGACAACAGTCTTAACTAATAACCACTTAGCTTACCGATCCAAATCTGTGTCCTGCTGGGAGTAGTTACGCTCCATCTCGGGTCTCATTTGCATTCAGCAATGTTGTCCATTTCAGCGAAGCGTGACGCCACAACCACGTCACCCCGCTGCATGTTTCCTCCCCCTGCCCAGGAGGACAGTGGGTAAACAACAGAGTGTTAATGATGCTAATCGGTAGCTAATGAAAGGAGAAGGCCGGAGGGCAGATTTTGTGTGTGTGTCTAGGAAATGGTGTCCATAACAGGACATCTATCCCTGCATGAGGCCACCACTGTGCACATTGAAGTGTCTCCATCTGACAGCTTATGCAACCCATGTTTTTGTCTGAGAGCTTTGATTATAGACTTTAAATTAGAGATCTGCTTGGGGATGATGATTATTATTATTTTTTTCACTTTCATCCCACTGGGTCTTGCAGATTTTTACTTTGTCCACCTGCTTCCCATTTAATGCTTTTCTTCTTGCTTACTCCCTCTAAATTTATACTACTGTTCAGAAGTTTGGGGTCAAGTAAATGAATACTTGTAATCAGCAAGGTCACATTAAATCGATCAAGTGTGACCATAATAACTTTTGGAATGATTCAAAAGGTTTCCATTTCAAATAAATGTTCTTTTGAACTTTCAATTAATAAAAGAATCTTGTATGTCAACACTGAAAACAATAGAAATGTTTCTTGAGCAGCAAATCAGCATATTAGAATGATTTCTGAAGGATCATGTGACACTGAAGACTGGAGTATTGGTGCTTACATTTGAGAATATATGAAAATACAGGTATTTTAAATTGTAATATTTTAGAATATGACTGTTGTACTGAATTTGTTATCAAATAAGAGACTTTCCAAAAAATCTTACCAACCCCAAACTTTTGAACGGTAGTGAATGTTACAGTATTACCATTTTTCCCCAGGTGTCTCAAATTTGTTGTCATGAAGCTCATTCTCAATAATATTTTGTTGGATTTCCTCTCGGTTAGCGTTCTTCTTTTTTTGTCATTGATTTGCTTTTTGGAGTATTTAAAAAAAAAAAGAAAACTGACGGCACGCATCCACTCACAGATTTCATTATCTGATACCAGGCTATTTCAGTAATCTCCTGCCAGTGTTCTGACTGACCTAATGGCAGTGTAACCTCAGAGAAAGGCAGCTTCTTTGGATAAGCAGGAGAAATAACAATGTTCAGTATATTTAGTACCCTTATATTCACACAAATGGGTTAAGGTTTTAATGTTTAGCTTAAAACAGATTTGCTTAACTGATCAGTGACCTCAAGTAATATAGAATCTCAAATATTAATTCTCATTGATTCAGATGTCTTCAAACCTGCTCGTCTTCAGGATCTCTTGAAAATCACAAGCTGATATACACTTTGCAGCGCAGTGGATCTCCAGGAGGGTTGAAGACGTTTATGTCATCATAATTTAGTTCCAGGTCAAAAATTAAGAGCGGTTTTTGAATCTCCATTTAAGACTTTTGAACCACACTGTACTGTATGTGAATCATGAACCATTTTTTTTGGCCAGACCTGGTGTGAAGCAGGCTGTACGGCCGTTTGATCGCTCTTAGATCGATTATATCTTTTGTCATTAGGGGCGTAGAGACTAATGAAATCTTGTGAAAGGTTAAAGTATGTTTGGTTTTCACTTAAATGTCAACCTAACAGTCTGGTGTTGTGGGAGAGCTGCTGTTAATTCCAGTCCAGACTCCCCAACCCTCCAATTTGTTTTTAAACCCAGAAATCGATTTTGGTTCCATTTGATTTAATAACACGACAAGGCATTATCCTTGAATGATGGGCTCCTACCCAAAGCACTTTCAACCGACAAATATAAATTTGATTGAGCTTAGCAAGGGGAGAGTTAAGGAAGTTCTTTGCATCCTCAAGTGAGTTTGACATAGCGTGATGTCGCAGTGTGAGCAAGAGATCGACTGCATTTCATTTCATATCAAGGTTGTGTCAGGTGAAGCTACAGATTACTGTGTAAAATGAGAAGTAAAACATTATTTTGGTTTTGCTACAGTCATGAAATTTGCCAAGTTTTAATATTTTGTTTAGTATCATGACTCAAAGTAAATTTTTTTCCCCTTTTGTCCTTAGTGCAATCAGTCTTAGAAATAACTAAGAGATTTTATTTATATAATTTGATTAAAGTGTCTATAGCAGATTTTGTATGTTTGTTGTGCCATGGAAATGCCATGAAGTGTTACACGTGGTTAACAGCAAAACTACGATACATCTGTGGGCCTGTTGAACCCCCCTGCACTCCATCCATACATGCATATTCAGATGAAGCTGCTCGTTTGATTGTGTCTGCCTGCCTATTGCGTGAATGTCCGCTGTAAATGGAGGGGAATGTTGTGGTTTTAACACATGCACATGAATCAGTGTAGTGTAATGACTCACACATTTGCTCTGTTATAGTTATTTCTGGACAGAAATTCTACAAAAATAACCATGTGATAATGCCTGGTGGTCCGTTTGATTTAAAAAGTTTACTTTTACATAACATGAGGAAGTCCACTGCTCACTGATATCAGCAAAAATATAAATGGCGTATCTCTAGCAGTATTTCTACCGTTGCACCGTTTATACAGGTAAAATTGCCTGGCCCTAAAGATCACCTGATGTACATGTAAATGAGACTCTCTGTGCTGTCAGTCTGCAGATTCAAGCAGTTAATGAGATTGGTGCTGGTCCCCTCTGCCCTCCCCTGCTGGCCCGCACCAGGCCTCTGCCACCTGTCCCTCCCCGACTGGAGTGCACTGCTGCAGGACCCCAGAGCCTCAAACTCAAGTGGGGAGACAGCAGCAATGCCAAGAGCCTGCTTGGAGAAGAGATGGTCTACAACTTACAGATGGAGGACAAGAACAGGAGGTCAGTTCATTTCAATCACACATCATGAATAGCAATAAAGGCACCGCTAAAAGAAAAATTGAATTCATTTTGAGAGCACACTGTGAGCAATGAAGTAATTTAGTCAAGGTGAAATGTCATTAGATGGCAGCAATATTTTTTTAACATTTTACTTTTTTATATAAGGGTTTTAGGTCTTACTGTTATAGATGTACCTGTAGATTGGTCAGGTCACTAGATTTTGAAGCTACCCAAGTTTCAGTTTGGCCTAGTTTAATTGTAACTGTTGATTGTTTTCCTTGGCAGAGTGGCATGTTGGCAGTATTTGTGAGTGGGCAACTGGCCTGACAGATGGGCATTTAATAGATAATATAATGAATTCCCCAACCAACACTGTCAAAAATCCTTTTAGTGTTAGACTAGTTAATTTACTAATTATTTTGATGGTTCTCTTTAGCCAGTAACTGTTTTGTTTCAAATGGAGCAAGCATTTATCTTCACCAAAAATGCAGCAAGGGTAGTTTATATGGTTTACATAAACAGTACCATTTAAAGGAATAGTTCACCCTAAAATTAAAATTCTGTCATTAATTACTCACCCTCTTGTTGTTCCAAACCCATATGACCGTCGGTAATTTAAGATATTTTTAATGAAATTAATGAATTGGTTGAATTTAATTAAACTTTACTTACAAAATATTAATCTCCAACAAAGCACCATGATGCATGCGTAGAGCAGACGTTGTTGTGAAAGTACATTTGGAGATGAATATTTTGAAAATAAGTTATGTTAACTAAATGTTAACTTTTCTGATGTCGACCAAAAAACCCTTGGCGGTTGACCGATCGAGCGCCGGAAGTGACAGTGGAAACGCGGCTATTGAGGCTTTTCTGGCATTCAGTTGATTGTGTTTTATTCTGTGCAGAGACTGGAAGTCGCAAAATGAAACGTCATAGTCATAAACAAAGGACTATCAATTTGTAGCATAATGTCCCCTTGACTTTGTGTCTATGTTCTGATCAAATTATAGTGATAAGCATATTTACTAAAGGCCTAAGATCCAATTGCCATCATCAGTGTGCATTAGAGTTTGGTAAATGTTTTTTTCTCTTTTTGTTTTTTGAGTATTTGCTATGGTAACAATGATTGATTCAGCTGCTTAATCAAAATTAGATGCCAACTGCGCAATCGAGAGAGTCTTGATTCGGCATGGCTCTGAAATGACTATTACACATTTTAGTTCTGTTCAGATTACCATAGTAACCACAGATGTACTATCCAATCCATCAAACGGAAAATAAAAGATATTATCAGACCACTTCTCTATGAACAATCTTCTTTTTGAAATAATTTCTTTTGGATTTTATTTTATAATTCCAAAGGTGATCTGTTGGAGCTGGATCTTAACAAGTTTGATGTTTAGTGCTATTCCTTCATATGCACATAAAGAACCCTTGGTAGGACCCTTGGCAAAATTCCAAAATAGACCAGCCTTGGATGAAAAGAGCTTGAAGAGGAGGGTTTGAAAGGCTTCCATGAGAATATTAAGCATAAACTGCAGGTCACTGGTCTGTTACCTTGATCTAATTTGTCTGATGTCAAGCTGGCAGGAATCTTGACATTGGCAAAATACCCGTGGAAGCAGTCATTAAATAGCAGCTGTTGCTTTGTTCTCTGTTTTGACCTGAGGTGTTTGTGCATTAGACGGATGGTGTTGCACTATGACAGGACATGGCATGAGGATACCCAGAGCTCTCTGCCAGTACCAGAAATTTCCTCCTAATTTATTGTAATTGGATCCACAAAAGGTTCAATTAAATGTTAAATGTCTGTGGCTAGTTTATAATGTCATTGTGTCCTTTTTTTGTCTTAGAAATACACAAATGGGCAGAAAAGGGCATTTTGGTTTGTGGTTTTATTGACATTTTTGTGGTTTTATTATATATATATATATATATCTTCTCGGCTAGTAGGCTATATTGAGTCATTACGTCACATCTGTACACATAAAGAAGGAGTCTCGGCTAGTATAAGCTATATTGTGTGTGAGGATGCTGAAGGTGGAGATTTATAGCCTTTTCTCACAGCACTTGATATAGTTAAACTTATCATTTTAATCCAGAACGGTCAAACGACAATCACCAGTGACAACAGATTCACCCATTGCAAAATACAAAAGACTTTGGATTGTTTGGAAAAAGAGACTGCAACCGGCCCATGCGAAAGCACGGATAAATATGTGAAGGGCTTTAAATGTAGTTCACACAATTCTGAAGTTGTTAACATGAACAATTTGAGAACAAAGTATAATTTGCGTGGTTTTGCATGATATGATTAACGATCGTTAGATTTAATCAGCGTGATTTACTGCAATGCTTTTTTTTAGTTAGTTGGTCAGAAGAACAAAAGTTAGTTACTTGTTCAGATGACATTTTATAGGGTAAAAATTCTTATGTTGGTCATACTTCCAAAAAGTATAATCTATAATTCCGAATGACAGTATCCACCATAGACTGTAAAAAAAAAAACAGACAGCCGCACATTCTCATTAAAACATTGTGTTCATCTGCGCTGTGCCGTGCCGGGGTACAACTCAAGTAAAGTTGAGAATTTCGGCGAATAACTGCAATTGCAGATTTTGAACAGAGATGGCGACAAAGAGGAAAAACTGTGGACTGCAGCTTTAAGTATCCTGAAACTAAATGTTTTACGATATTCACAAAAATATTAACACCACAACTGTTTTCAGCATTGATGATAGTAAGAAATATTTCTTGAGCAGTAAATCAGCATATTAGAATTATTTGAAGACCGGAGTAATGGTGCTGAAAATTCAGCTTTGCCATCACAGGAATTAATTACATTTTAAAATCTATTATATTAGAAAGCATTTATTTAAAATTGTAATATTATTTGACAATATTACTGTTTTTACTGGATTTTTGGTCAAATAAATGCAGTCTTGGTGAGCATAAGAGACTTTTAAAAAAACAATAACATAAATAAAATGTGTGTTTTAGGTTTGTCACAATTTACAGAGGCCCAAGCCACACGTATAAGGTACAGAGACTAAGTGAGTCGAGCAGCTACTGTCTCAGGATTCAAGCTGTGAGCGAGGCAGGAGAAGGGTTTTTCTCTGAAATACACACCTTCCATACCACCAAATCTGTTCCTCCAGCTCTCAAGGGTAAAGTATTCTTGTACAATAACATCAACATATTGCTTCATGCCAGATATATGCTCATTTACTGGATGGGTACTTATTGTTTGTTTATATAGCTAAACTAAACTTGTATTTTATCCTTTAGCTCCTAAAGTGGTACAGTTGGAAGGGAATGTGTGTGAGGTCAGCTGGGAGAGCATTCCACCAATGAGAGGAGACCCCATCATCTACATCCTACAGGTGCTGGTGGCCAGAGAATCCGAATACAAACAGGTGAGATTTCATTGTTCAAATCTGAATTGTATATAGATTAGGACTATCGATTAGCCAGTGATCGGAAACATCTTCACATTCTCTTTACTTATCTCATTTGCTTTAAAAGTAGCTTGTGTATTTTTTCCCAACTGTGATGGGAGAATTTTTGTATTAAAGTAGACAAATGAGTTAGCATTGTTAAATTTGAACCCCCTTTTAGATTTTGTAAAATTGCTTTTAGTTTAAGACATCCATTTAGTTTTTTTTCTCTAATTTGACATTATTAACTTTTTTTATTAATATTTCCATAGCTTTGACAAAGGCTATGACTAACACCAGCACTATGACGATGTAAAATGCATGAAGTTTCATGCTACTCTTTGCAGTGCATTGCTATTCAAGGAAAGGTAAAGGGATATGGGATATGTCATCCCCACAGACTGAGTCTGAGATAAGACTAGAATATTAGGTTTGTGTTCTCCACCTGAGACTGCCGCGGATGCCACTGATGGCTTGATAGGGACTAACAACCAGCTCATCTATCATTCTTGATAAAATTGAAGGAAACAACCAGCCACATTTGAAAACATATTTTCTTTTGCATTTTTGTGGTTATTTTTTAATTGAAAATGATAACTCTATTAAACATAACAGGTATTTACACCAATCCTTATACAGTATAGCTCAATTAACACAAAATATGTGTAAACTTTTGAACAGGATGCTTGTTCTTAATATTGTATGTTGCCTCTTTAAGCGTCAATGACTGTTTGCCCAGTTACACTTTATTTTAACTTCAGACATTCTACTAACTATAAGTAACTTTCCAACTACATGTCAACTAAATTTCATTAAAAGTATGAAATTTACGTTTTGCTGCTAGAGGTCGCTTATTCAGAAAAAGGTATAGCTTGATGATTACGCAGTTACACTGACGTGCTGCTCAAATGCCGCTCACGCTTGCAGTGTGTAACAGCCGTAAGGCTGCATTGAAAAGTAACTTCGCGTCTACAGCCATGTTGGTATAAACAAACTGCCTGTATAAACAAAGTATAAACTGTATAACTAGTAGCTGTATTAACTGTATAAACAAAGTTGTACTTGTACCTGCTTTCGGGTACTTTTTTTTGTATCACCTCCGGCAAGGTTCTGAGTGAGGCTATGGTGAGCTGAGCAGGTATCAAAATGTGACGTGAAAACAATGATTGCTGATTGGTCAAAGAGAATCGTCACCATTCACTGCGTCATCATTGCACGTGCCAGATGGAGTATCCAGAATCCCCGCCATTTTTAAATAGTTTGGCCAGAGATAGTTACTAAACTTACTACTATTATTATGGCAGCTAGGAAGAATACGGTGCAGACTTTCCTTTGTTTGGTTGCCGAAGAGAGGATCCAGCGAGAGCTTGATAGGGCAACGAGGAACGAAAGGCGTCGCTATGACGACCAGGTACTATTTGTGGCGGTACTGGAGGTCGAGTCGAGTCGCTACTGGTAATGGAAAAGCGCCATTAGCAGACTGTTGGGTTAGACAGTAGAATAAGTTGGCATGTACTTGCAAAGTTTCTTATAGTCTGTCTGTTAGTGTTAACAGAAATTAAGCAGTCTACTAATTCTCTAATGACAGTTAGTTGACATGTAGTTTGCAAAGTTACCTATAGAATGCCAAAATTGGACTATCGAAATACTGTGACCATTTGTGATAGTTGTGTTTCAGTCACAGAGGGAGGGTTATTATTATTCACAGCACATATTTTTGTCAATTCTGTTACAAATGTGCTGTCATTTTACATTTAATGGCCACATTAGTAGATAAGCCGGTGAATCAAAATCCACTGAGCATTGAGCGACTCTGAAGGCCATGAGGTCTCTCCGTGGAGTTCTGCATGACCGCTTCTGTCATGACCAGAGCAAGCCAATCAGATCCCTTTCTTCTCTCATATATTTCTCTGCTAGGGCCGAGAGCACGGTCTAATGTAGCTGGCATGGTTCCTATTACTGTGCTAATGTGTGCCTTGTCCTGTCAGCTGTTAAAATGTATGTGATTCAGGAGCGGGTTGTTTGTATGGAAAGAGAAGTGAGAGTTTAATGGCTGCAGATGCTGTGTTCTGTTTGCTCTGCTTCTGATGCTTCTGTGTGAGCATCTCAATTTCACCACCTTATTCCACTATATAAAACCCGTCAAAGTTATAGACAGAGCAGGGATCCAACATAAATCCCGTCTACATCTCAGAACATTTTCACCCAGCTTAACTGTGCATGTTCACTAAACATTACTGAATTGAAATCATGTAAGCACAGACATCTTGCCATTTAATGTTAAAGCTAGTTACAATTTTGCAGTGGTGGAGGAAGTACTGAATCTCAGTACTTAAGTAAAAGTACAAATAACCAGATAAATATTTACTTTAGTAAAAGTAGAAGTAACACAATGACAACCATACTTAAGTAAAAAGTACCTGTTTTTTAATGTACTTTAAGTATTAAAAGTGCTTGCATAACAATTGATTCTCTTAATGACTATTTTCTAATGATTAATAAAACATTTAATTCTAACTCATTCAACCTAATACTCCTATAATGATGTTCAATAATGATGGAAAAAAATGTCACCATTTCTGAAACAAGCTTGCAATTAGGCAATATAAACCATGCTCATCCTTACTATATGTTAATAACTATGTTTGGCAGTAAACGCGATTAATTTATGGTGTAATTCTGAACCTCTTGGCTTGCCATAATCCTAACCAAACGTATATTACACACGTTTCCTATGCACGTAAAAACAAATTTTCGCGTATAAATTGCACGATAAACACACTGCGTGCGAGACGCATTTAGTTGATGTATCTATGGCAACCAAACGTCACTGGTGAGACAAAAGTGCAACGAACGGACGGTCAGATTACGTTTTGGCCGGGGAAAAACTGATCAGAAAATGTAACAGAAGTTGTAGAAATGTAGTGGAGTAGAAAGTATAATAATTGCTGCAAAATGTAACGAAGTAAAAGTAAAAAGTATGCACTATTTATTCTACTTAAGTAAAGTAAAGATACGTGAAAAATGTACTTAAGTAAAGTAACAAAGTATTTGTACTTCGTTACATTCCACCACTGCAATTTTGGCTTATAATAATGGGAGATAAAAGAATTCTGCACTTTTTTTAAGTTAGTTTAGGAATCACCATATTATAATGTACAGTGTGGATATTCGTTTTGAGATTTGATTAAGATTGCGTTTAACAGTATTTCTTTCTTTAGTGCTTTTTTAGATTACAGTAGTTTGAGCAACAGATAATGTGAAGAGTAATCTAATTGAAAACATAGATGCTTAGTGATGAGAAATCTTCCTGTGCTGTTGTATGGAAATGTCAGCACTCATGTGTATTTAATTCATTTCATTTTTTTTTTATTTTATTTTATTTGTTCTATCAGATTCAGCTTGTTTTTAGTTTTATTTCGTCTGCTCATGAGTAATTTGGCTTGTTTTTGTCAACTTTCGCCATTCACGAACAACTTCTATTAAGTTTATATTTTTCAATGCATTATGCGGAGGGACAATGCATTATGCGGCGGGTTTTCAAAAGTCTGGTTTGCACTTCTGATTTTCCACTTGGAAATCAAATGTTTAGTCCTCTCTGATCAGTTTTTGTACAGCCTCATGCTGTGCCATACATCTGGAATAAACAATGAAGGTCTTAATATTTAGCTCCTGGCTTTGCTGTGCTATTAGAGCTGCATGGTGACATGAAACTTGCGGCGGGCACGTAGGGATTTTTCTCCATTTCCTTTGTGTCAACAAATGAAAATGTGTCCATAATCTTAGCAGTGAGTAAGGAAGGTTACAAATTGTGGGCGGCTTTCCAGTGAAATTGAACCGCTGTTGTTTGGCAACCAAAAGCAGCCACATGTGAAAAGCCTCATGCATAGTAAGTGCTCTGTTTTATGTCAGTTCCCCACACATGACCTATTCTGCATTTTAATCAGACCTCCGATGTTTCATGTTAGTTTCAGCATATCATGCATGTACTGTAGTCTAATAGACCCCTTTTGCGCCAACATCACAGTTACGTCACGTTGGAGGCAAAACAAAGTGAAAACTGGAGGCGGCCAATACAAACCAGCACAGATTCGGCTACATAATAAGGAGCTTAAATTACTTTTATTATAATTATTAAATATCTTCTTATTGTGTTGTTTGGTGCAAGTATCAATGAAAAATGAATATGTTGTGTCTGGACTTTTTATTTCTAGAAAACATTCACATGATTAAAATCGCACCGTAATGTTACTCTTTACATTGTCGTCTTCTCTGCCCTGGCTAGGCAGAACTGCAGATCGTACACACAAATCTTGTACAGGACCATTCAGCACATAGTTATAGGCATCTAAAGATTTATATGCCCTCAGTTTCTCTTTACGATCGGTTTCTCCATAAGGTAGGTGTAGAAGTCAGGCCACTCAACCGAGGTAACGTAACGTTAATCCTGTCAGATCGTCCATGCATTGAGTGAGCGTGTGAAGGCTAGGGGTCAGCCAATTTGGTTCTGTCCGTTAAAATGAACTTTTTAAAATAACAATCACGGTCCTGGACAGTGAGTGACCTTACACATTAAGATAAAATCTGATTTTCTTCAGTCATTGTTAAAAAAAAACAAGCTAATAAAACTCGCTAACTAGCATTAGTGAAGCGGCCAGAGGGCTCGTTCTGCCTCGACCTAAGCTCCGCCCACATAAAAACGTCACCATGTTTACCAACCGAAAAGGGGTCTATTGGAGGATATGTTTTCCTGGTGAAAATCATCTTTTCTGTTTAGATTTCTTATCTAGACTCTCTTTGTGGCACAAAATGGCATTGTAAAAACTACAGGATATGAAAACTCTCGCTCACATGGGGAATGCACCATATTGATCACTATCTGTCATTTTGACATAGAAAGACTTCCATATTGCTCTTTAATAAATGTTGAAAGCTCCTTTTCCTAATATTATTATTTGTGAATTGTACTTTATCCTGATAGATAGAAACACTAGTTATATCCAAATGTTCAATGTTATTCACGTTTATACTGTTTTGTTAATAATATTTACATTTATTTAAATGAATACTGATTATTTAATAAAAGTATTATGCAATACATTAATAATAATGTTTTACAAAGAATATTATTTTAAAAAGTACATGCTTTAACAAAAATGAACTTCATATTTATTTTAATAATGCAAATTATTTAAAAACAATTACATATATGTTTTAATAGTAGTAATAATTAAGTATTATTGTTAATTATATATATTTAAAAATAATTCAAATTTTCTGCTTTTAAACCACAGAAATGATTAAATGTAACTAAGATTATTTTCTGTGGTAATCAACATTTATGCCACAAATGCAATAAACTCAACTGTAAACGGTTGGAGGTTGTAGTGAGTTTTATGCAGTTTGAGAATATACATCTGTATTTTTCACAAACGTACTTTCTTTCTTTCAGTTATATAAGGGAGAGGACACAACCTTCCAGATCTCGGGGCTACAAAACAACACAGACTATCGCTTCCGCGTGTACGTGTGTCGGCGGTGTCAGGACAACGCTCAGGAGCTGTGTGGACCCCTCAGCCCATCCTCGCTCTTCACACTGCGGCGTACAGAGCTCGCGCTGCCTGGAGAGCCCAGCTCCACCGAGACCCTGAAGCCCAGCGGCATGTTCGCCACGGACGAACGCTTCGCGGCCGTCTTAGTCGGGGCTTTCGCGGCCCTATCCTTCCTCATCGCTTTTGTGGTGGAATACTTCTTCATGAAGTGAAGATATTAAAAAGCAACGCCAAACCAGCAGCCAGTCAAGAAAGAAAACATTTACGTTTCAAGTAACACACAAACACTTAAAGTATACATCCGATTCGACGTACTGTAGGATGAGTAATTTAAACAGGCTCTCTTCTCGTCTTTTACCCCCTCTCTCTCTCTCTCTCTCTCTCTCTAATGCCTTCCAGCCTGCCTGTGCATCACTGTGTCACCCGCTCTTTTACAGCGTGTGGATTTTGCTCTGAACTCTTGGGGAAGCAAAACCACATCACGAAGCCTTACGAAGAGTTGCCCGTTTTTGCATGCTTCGTTTTTTTTTGTATCCCTTTAAGTGTACGTATATGTTGGGAGGAAAATGTATCAGTATTTTCTCCACGTTCATGGCCTTACTTTTGTTTTATCCAAGTGTGCTTCACAGCATTTGTTTCACAGCCATATACGAGTTGTTGGAATCATAGCTTTATCATGGTGTAAAACCCACAATCACAGTCCACCCAGTGCCGTTTTAACATACACGATCGCGTGATCTTCACAGATTGTTTGTGCGTCACAGTACGAAACCTTCTCAGAAACAGGAAAAAACCTGTTACCGTTGTAAGACTGTTGTAAAGCCCCCTGCATTAAGCTGCCAAAGCAAGTGTGGTTTAAGTGATGCTGCTATTGTGTGTTTATATTTCCTACGAACGGAATCAGTTATCTAATATATATATAGATACAAATATAAATCTATAAAATTCTATAGAGCTGTTGTAATATAAGTAACAATGAGTTTGAAGTAGATCTCTCATTTGGAGCGTGTCGATTCCCATTCTATGGTGCTTTATCTGTGGTCAGTAGTGTTGGCGGGCGAGGGTAAGGGAAGTGTGACGTCCTCTGCAACCACGCACCCTCTCTCCGCCATCTAGTCCTAAGGCGCCTCTAGTCCAGAGCTACTTCTCGCCTTCCCGAATGACTTGGCTAGGCTAACGTCGCCCTCTCAGACTGATTTTGGGCTCTGCTGATGCCTGGAGTCACAATAGTTTCCTCACTCTGTGAATGGCGTTCGTCCCCAGGACTTCGCCCCCTAGTGTTTGAATGTTTCATCTTCTTTGAAACCCGTGAAGCCAGTCGGACAGTTCTAAGGTGCTTTTACCAAGGTTATTGTCGAAAGCAGCAGTGAATTCCTCCACCCGCTGCACCTGATGTTCATGCCAAACAGCCTGATGTGCTTGCAGTGCATCTTTAGCCAAGTAAAAAGGTACAAACCAGCAGTTCCCATCGATCCAAAGAGTTTCTCCCACATTACGCTCACAGAACCGGTTAGGTTTCTAAAAAAAAAAAAAAAAAAAAAGGAGAAATAAACTGACAGCCTGTATTGTACCTCAGGGACCTGGACTTTTCAGAGGTGAAGAAGTAAATACTATGTTTCTGAGAGGGTGCTGCGAAACACTAAACGTTGCCGAATGATTGTGATATTTCTGTCATCAGTAGCGTCATTCCGTTGTATCTGCCTCTGCAGTTTGAAATGCATTTTTTTTTTTTTCTCACCTAAGCTGTGCCTTGCTCCAGTTGTTCGTAAGCAAATCGTTTACTAGCTCAGAATACCTTTGCCAAAGTTAATGGGAAAGTAAGGTATCATTCTTTAGGGTTATTTATACTATCTATTGCATACAATACTTTAAATGGCAATTAAAGTGCAATCTTCATTTATTTATTTTTCAAGAAATTAAGAGATGTAGTTATGTACTATTTTTCCCTCTCTTGTAGCATGAGTTATTTTTTATGTATTGTAGATTAACGATAAAGGCCAGCATTCCTTTCATTCATAATTCTGGTTATGTTTATGTCTTTCTTTAATTGGGAACATGTTGCATGTACCATGCTGAAACATTTATATATAACCAAATGTCTGTTCATCTCCTATTACAAAGTGCCGAACTCCAGTTAGTTGTCTTTTCATAGAGAACTGTAGCAAATGTTTTTTTTTTTTTTTTTTTTTTTTTTTTTAATAATTTGTGAGTGTGTAATGGGACATACAGTACATACCTACATTTGGCATTGCTAAAGAGTGTTATGACGCTTATGTTATCGTATAGTTTGCCAAAGCGGAAGCTTGTCCATTTTATGTTGCTTTTTATTGTTACTTAAAGGATTACTTGAGAAATCCTTTGTGACACTATAACATCATTTCTTGAAAAGGAAAGTTAAACTTCATCTGTGACTACACTTTTTTTTTAGTAGTAAAAAAAATGTGCCATTTTTTTGAACAATCCTTCAGAGGTGAAATCTTACATGCCGTTTCACGCCGAAAGGAAAGCAAAACAATCAAACTGTCATTTCCTTTTATTTTCCGGACATGTCATAGCGCAATAGTGAATTTATTCCAGTATTTTTGCTAAGGAATTATATATAGAGATATATAGTATGACAACTAACAGAAATGAAGCACTTTTTAAAGTGAAACATTAATCTTTATTAGATTTATCTTGATAAAACTGTATTTCCTAGTCAATGTTGCTATTGCTTTCACATGGAGAGTATCATGCAGTAAGAAATGCCTGTTAAACTGGCCCACACAGGCTTGAACATATTTAGTGAAAAGTCTGAAAGTACATTGGGGTCCTTTTTATTGTTTTGTTTATTGCCCATTATGTAGTGTTTGGTCCTAACCCGTGATCTAAATTTGTATGTTTTCTGTTTGTCTGTTTTCTTATTGGTAAAACAACACACGACAGTTTTGTGGCCCAAGTATAGTTTTGTATTTTTATATGGTATTTTTATTCCGTTTTCTCTGTTTTGTTTGTGCTCTGAAAATGAATTTGAAAGGAGATCGGTCCGCTCTGTCATCCCAAGAGAAGTGTATAGAACCGTAAGTGTATTCAACTATTTTCCCCCCTAAAAAGTGTATTTTTATCTCAGTTTTAAAAATATAAAAAGACAGAAAAGGAAAGATATACAAAACATTCCAGGCTTGTCATGATCTACAATTTTTAAAGTCATGATTTTTTTCTCGTATTGTAAATGTTAGACAAATTCATATGCATATATATAAAAGAAACTGCCATATCAATGTTAATGTATAGATTTTTGCAAATACTACCCTATGTAAGACTTATCTGTATCTGTAGCGTGTATGTAATATATTTATACCCAATAAATGTTTTACTTTTTTCTGACAGATTGTATTTTGTGCTGTAGATGTTAATAATTCATAGAGCTTATGATTGAAGTCCCTCACTTCTTGTCTGTTGCAGCATGTCATGAATATTAAAGTACAAATGCTGATCATCTAGCACAATATCTTCACTGTTTTACATTTCTAACTTCAGATTACGTCCTTATTCTAAAAAAAAAAAAAAAACACCCGAATTGGAATTATTGAAAGGCTGTTCTACAATTGTGCTGACGTGTCTAAAGTAGAAAGATGTTGCTCATTGAAGCTGCTAGTCCAATTTCATCCACCACCAAACATTTGTTGAAGCACTTGTCTTCATTCATAAAGAAGGTTTAAGCCGGTGTAAAGATTCATGTTGTAGAATGAAATGATGAATTGCTTTATAAAGATTAATTAATCAATATTGAGTAACTTAAACAGCAGAATGCCTAAAAGGCAAAGCATCTCTTTCTCCATTTCCAATCATTTTTTGCTTCAAGTCTGTCTTTGTGTTCATGTTACATTCTGTTGCTGTGGGTTTTTTTTTTTTTTTTTTTTTGGTAATTTCTTGACAATTCAAAGCTGCAAAATGTCAGAGTTTTCTTTCACTGTCTGGATTTTCCGTTTTTTCATCTTTATTGGCATGACCAGTAACACTACATTTGTATTATCAAAGCATTTGCAGCTTACATCTAGACCGTTATGCTCAGTTAAACTGATGTCAGTCCGTGACTGTCTTACCAAGTGAAGACCAGTGGGTCACACTTTAGATTAGGGTCCAAATCTCACTAATAACTAACTATTAGCTGCAACGTTTCCCTCAGTAAACTCCTAATTCCTGCTTATTAATAGGTAATTGTTAAGTTTAAGAATGGGTTAGTATTAAAGGAGTAGTTCACTTTTCAAAAAACTTTTGCTGATAATTTACTCACCCCCATGTCATCCAAGATGTCCATGTCTTTCTTTATCAGTCGAAAAGAATTTAAGGTTTTTGATGAAAACATTCCAGCATTTTTCTCCATATAATGGACTTCAATGGGAACCAAACGGTTCAAGGTCCAAAAGACAGTTTCAGTGCAAACTGCAAATTGTTCAAAGGGCTTTAAATGATTCCAGACGATGAATAAGGGTCTTATCAAGTGAAACAAACGCTCGTTTAATAAATAAATAACAAAGTTTAAGTTTTATAAGCTCAAATGCTTGCCTTGCTCTGTTCTGTGATGCACGTTCGTGACTCTCCTGTTCAAACTCGTGGATATCTTGGATGACATCGGGGTGAGTAAATTATCAGCAAAAGTTTTTTAGAAGTGAACTACTCCTTTGAGGGATGTATTATAATGTCATGCAGAATAAGGCATTAATATGTGCTTTATTAGTACTAATAAACAGACTAATACGCATGCTAATAAGCAACTATTAATAGTTATAGAATAGAATTCAATTTATTGTCATTGCATGTCACGAGTACAAGCAATGAAATGCAATTGCATCTATCCAGAAGTGCTTTGTAATAGTTAGAGTTGGAGCCTAAACTAATGTGTTGGGGAAAGATACTTTTAATGTGTTACAATATTACATTACTCCCTAAAAAAGTAAGTAATTGTGTTACTTCTCTTTTTTTATTCATTTAGAGATATCTGTTTTTGTGCAAGTGAGATGAGTAAGTGCCTGCTCATAACTAAATAACTCTCGTGTGTTGCGCACACAACACTTCTGCACCTGACTCATGATTTCTCTCAACGGGAAAACAAAGCGATACTTATTTGAAAAGGTGACTTATTATTAATGAATTTCCCCAACACTGGTGAAGACATTTAGTTATGTTTGTGGACAGACAAAATTAGACTTTTATAAAGCATGCAAAAGCCTTTTAGTTGAAGTCAAACATTAAATAAAAAAAATCAAACATTTTGTCCAGGTAGGCTATCATTTTTTTTTAATCGACACTTCGAAGAGTGTTTACACCCCTCCTCTCCATCAGGGCTGTGGTATTTTATTTTTTTTAATACATTTTATGGCTATGGTAGGCAGAATTGGGATGTGTGAATGGTGGGCAATCTCATTTTGCAGCGTCACCTTCTGCCTCATGAGGAGATCTGACGGATTTATGAAACCATTCTCCTCTGTAATCCTCTTTCTCCGCAGTTTGGGCACTCTGACCTTGATTTGACATCAACAAAACACCAACAGTCAGACTTTACATATAGACATAAGAAAGCAGGATTTCTAACAATACATCATAAAAACCGATAAACCATTGATCCTGAGGAATAAGAGCGTCTCAAATGAACTGCATCATTTCCCCTTATTATTTATTTGAAGCCCATTATAGGCAGCTAGATCTTTTGGGGGTTATGTAAATGACCACATAGTCCTCTGTCACTCTATCTATCTAACACATTCTCACCCCAAGACGTCATCTAACTGACGCTTTTGACCATACGTCAACATCCAACATTTTAGGGCACCCTTTAACATCAGTTAGAATAGATGACGCTATCCTAGGGCGTCATCTAACTGACGCTTTACCTTTAGCGTCAGTTAGATGACACGGGTAGGTTTAGGTCTGGGTACCCTAAAACGTCGGATGTTGACGTATGGTCAAAAGCGTCAGTTAGATGATGTCTAGGGCTGGTCTGACTGTCGTTATATCGATCCGACTATCATTCCATCTATCTGGCTGTTGTTCTATCTATCCATCTGTCTGACTATCATTCTATCTATCTATCCATCTGTCGTTCTATCAATGCATTTGTCTGTCTTTTATTCTATCCATTGTTCTACCTGTCTGTCGTTTTATCCATCCATCCATACTTCTATTTACTGAAATAGGATATGAATAGATTTCAGTCTTACAGGACAATCATTAAAAAAGAACATATATAATGTTACAGTGTGTGTGTATATATATATATATATATATATATATATATATATATATATATATATATCAATGTCATACTGTCATTGTGCTTGCAAAAGAAAACCTTCAACACAGCAGATATCCAATTAAACATGGTTATATTTACATATTTTACAAAGTACAAATATGCCATTTTTTGTACTGTACATCATTTTAGAACAACAAGACACATGCAGTTTCCACAACAGATATTAATGGATGTAAGATGACTTGTTATTTCCGTACCAATAGTTTATACATTTAGCACATGAAGCACTGAGAAAAAAGCAAGCTTTTTTTAGAACACAGTCTCATCCCAAAAAGTCATATGACGGACGTCTTTTGACCATACGTCAACATCCGCCTTTTTAGGGTACCCTTAATCGTTGGTTACATGACGATTCCGGGCCATCATACAACTGACGCTTTACCTTTAACGTCGGTTAGGTGACGGGGTAGGTTTAGGTCTGGGGTAGGGTTAGGATCTGCTAACGTCATCTAACCGACGTACCCTAAAAAGGCGGATGTTGACGTATGGTCAAAAGACATCCCAAGACGTCAGTTATATGACGTGTTCTAGTACTTAAATGTACCAGTACAATTTTGACTGTTTTATATACCTTTGTTTTAATGAACCTTTGCATTCTGTGTATTGCTTCAGGGCGGGTGCGGAGCCTAAAAACACGCACATGAAGAAAGTGAACACACTAGCTAAAAGAGCATGACATGCATTGAGGCACGAGGCCAATGAACGGTATCACCTCTGCAGTCCCTGTCATCAGGCGCATGAGGATGCTGCTGTATCTACAGTGCTCATTTTGTCTTCCAGATTTTATTTAGATTTAAGGCAACTGAATTGATCATTTTCTCTCTCTATTTACAAGCATATATATTTTTTATAAAACATCAAGGTTGAAATGTTTTGCTCGGATAGACAAATGGCTGTTAACATCTTTCTAAAATACTCCCTGATGTGTCTGGAAATTTATGAGACCTTCATATAAATCTTTTGTCTAATCGAGAGACTATCACCTTATAAAATGATGGCAGCATTAGATGAGGTCTGAAATGGCTGTTGTTAATGGCAAAGAGTGTCACACGCTGGCAGTGGATTCCGTCCAGCACGGTGGACTCTCTCCTTTGGCCACTGAGGTCCTTCTTCGTGGGTTATTACGCAGTCCGAAAAGTTTGCAAGCTGCCATCCTGTACTTCTTGGACATGATGTTGTACAGGATGGGGTTGATTGCTGCACTAAGGTAAAAGAGTACAAAGGAGATGAGATTACAGTACTGGCTGATGACGGACATGACGGGAGAGCCCATCTCTGTGGATTTGGAGATCAGGTAGCGTCCAACATGAAAGGGAAGCCAGCAGAGCACGAAGGCAAACACCACCACAGCTGTTAGGGAGAGAGATAATGAAGGTAAATGAACACTGAAATAGCCCCTTGTTCCTCACTTTGTTGCAGAAAGCAAATATTATTCGTGAGGGAAAAAAAAAATAGCATGAATCACAAACTTAATCATGTGTTAACAATAACAAAAAGGTTCACATAGAAATTAATAAATGTTTTAATTGTATTTTTAAGTATCAAAAACGCGTTTTTTGTTTGTTTGTTGTTGTTGTTTTAAGTTGTCAACCCTGCTAGATCTCCCCTTATTAAAATGATGAGCATTTTCATTCAACAAAAGACATCACCACCCTTTCACGATGTGAAATGTGCATTAATAAGTGTCTTTTTATCACTTAAGCTTATTTTTTCTTGAATGTGTTCTTAAATGACAATTTGGTAACACTTCATTTTACAGTGTCTTTGTTACACGTTAAATGTAGTTACAATTTAATATAAATTGTGCATAATTACATGTAACTAACCATAAATCACACCCTTTTCTAACCCTAGCTATTGTAAGTACATGCATGTTTAAACTTAAAATAAAGTGTAACAGACAATTTTAGCCAAACCAGTTACCTTTATTTTATTCATTATAGCTACCTTTAGGTTTCATGACTAAATGAACGAAAAGACTGTCACAACGTTACCTTTATAAAATACTGTATATTCCTTTACATGGCGAGCCATAGTTGAAAAGATATCCAATAGAAATGGATGGATGACCATCTTTCAACATGGATGACCCATTTTACTGGAATAAAATCGTTTAAATTAGGTGTTAGCACATAAAGTACATTTTTAGGTTGCCAAATAATACCATTTTAGATTGTACTGCTGTTTTGTGCCAAGCACATCCCGTGCGTAATGGGTGCGCTTGTGCGTAAAGTGCGCAAATGATAAACAACTTAATCGCGGTTTCCTCATACTGTGATGAAACCAAGCACTTACCCAGCATTTTCACTGTCTGTCTATTGCTTTTATCGCGACTCGAAGCGTTTTCTCCAATCGTCTCCCTCTTTCTCTTCCAGAGCTTTCGCCCGATGAGGCTATACAAAACAGTTAAGCAGAACACAGGCAAGAAGAAAAAGACGCTGGAGACCCAAACCATGATGGTCAAGAGCCCAGACCTAATGGCATATTCCGTCGCTTTGCATTCGTTAGTTTCCCACGAGTTTGTCCCATTTTCATGCTCGACCCCGACGAGCACAAATACAGGTCCTGCACTAAAGAAGGATACTATCCAGAGGACCAAAATGACCCCTCGTACGCGACCCTTGGTCACGACTATCTTTGCCCTAAGAGGAAAACAAATAGCAAAGTATCTCTCCACACTGAGAGCGGTGATGTTCAGGATGGTCGCGTATGTGCAACACTCGCTCACAAACTGAAAGAGTTTACAAAGTATGTTGCCAAAATTCCAAGGTCGGTACTTCCAGAGTCTGTACAAGTCCAGAGGCATGCAGAGGAAAATGAGTAAATCCGAAAAGGCCATGCTGGACAGGTACAGGTTAGTGGTGGTGCGCATATCCTTGTATTTGGTCACCACCAAAATGGTCATCAGGTTCCCCGTTACACCTACAAAGAAGAAGAGGGCACAGGTGACGGTGACCCCGGTTAGCACTGGGATGGGGAAAATGGTGACCGGGGGCTCGAAGCCCCAGTACGTCGAGTTATCATCCCAACTGCAGTTGAAGGAACAGTTGGACCGGTTCGTCCAGCCAGGCATGCTGAGAGATCATGGAGCGTCTAGAACCTCCTCTGAGAGAGAGCTCGGGCAGGACCGACTCCCCATCGTGCTGCGCTCAGGGCTGCCCAACATTTGTAATTGAACTTATACATCCCGAATTATTATGGGGGTTTCGGAGGGTAACTCCCTAATTACGGCTTCAAGCCCCATAAAAGAAGTCAAACTAAGTCTTCAAAACATGTTCCTTTACATATATGTTTCAGCAGCGTTTCCTAACAACGTTTCCGTAACTGTCTCATTTGTGGGCTAAATAAAAGCTCGCGAAAAGAAGTCGCGTCAGCCTGTGAAAGTAACCATAGCAACAGTGAAGCTGCTCGAGCGATTCGTTCAGTAGCCTATCGCGCGTGAAAACGACAAAAAGTGCATTATTACTTTAGATTTAAAAAATGCATTTTTGTTTTTGTTTTGTTTAAACGTCTTTTTAATAGTTTAACTTACTTAGAGGCGCAATTTATTTGAGTTGCGCGCGAACATGAGCTCTGACAGAACTTCCTCTAAAAAGTCTACTTCCCTGAAGGTCATTCATTATTTCGCACACTGTTGTATTCTACAGATTTGTAGTTGTCCAGTAAATGTCCTCATGACGCATCCTTTTCACTCGTTCCACCTCTGAAAATGGTTCCTGATAGGAAAACTCAGAGGATTTAAGGATGGCAATCCAGCTTTTTGTGCCAAGTTATCTGTCTACATTGGACAGGGAATCGTTAGTCTTCAAGCTATTTAAGGTGTAAGAAGAAAGATAAGTGTCGGGTCGGATTGATGAAATCACCCCGCGAGGATGAGAGAGGCGCGCTGGGCGTCACATCACCTGTGAAAGCTGAAGGACTCTTTCATTACTGATGTCATTGATTCATCGTTGATTAGGTGGATGCGGAATCTGTGTAGAAAGTTTCTGAAGTGGATAGAAAATATACGTCCACGCTATTATTTATAAGGAAAAAAGTAGGCTGCCAAGCATGTTGAGAATGGATACTTGTTGAACAGTGCCATCGTGTGATGATAGGATAGAATGCATTGAAACACATTCTTGCAAAGTTAATTTCAGCTGGAATTTATAGCAGGCTCAATACTCTGACTCAAATACTCTGACTCTCAGTCTCGAATAGGCCAAAGGATTATAATGAAAAGACGATTTTTTTTGATTTCTAAAATAATTTTCCTGAGATATAGGCTATGTTAGAGACGTGTAGCCTAACTTTTCTCTCAGTTGATTTGTCCGATATCTGTTTGTAGTCTTGGAATCTAACGTAGCAGGCTATAGCTACTAAATTACTATGGCTAAACTATAAATCTAAATATAGCAAGTCAAAACAAAACAGGTTTTGTTAATGTTTAGTTATCAGTTAATGTTCTTGACAACTTTATTACTATTTGATGGTATTTTTTCCAAATATGATTTTTTAGCTACATGATTGCTGACAAATGAATTCATATAAACATTAATATGCTTTTTATAACCTGTGATGCTTTTTTCAAGATTCTTCGATGAATAAAAAGTAAAAAAAGAAAAAAGAACTGCATTTATTTAAAATAGAAATCTTTTGGAACAATAGGCCTATATACCTTTCAAAAGTTTAAAAGTTCAAAAGTTTGGGGTCAGTATAGATTTTTCTTTATTTGAAAGAATTTAATACTTTTAATCAGCAATGATGTGTTAAATTGATGAAAAAGTAATAGTAAAGATTCATATTGCTAGAAAAGATTTCTCAGTTCCTTTTTACTTTTTATTAATTAATGAATCCTGAAAAAAATATTACGTTCCAAAAAAAAAAAAAAAAAAATGATTAAGCAGCACAACTATTTACAAAACTGAGTATCAAATCAGCATATTAGAATGATTTCTGAAGGATGATGTGACACTGAAGACTGCAGTAATGGCTGCTGAGAAGTTTTGCATCACATAAATAAAGTATTCTTTAAAGTGTATAGAAATCGTTATTTTAAACAGTAATATTTCACAATATTACTGTTCTTTCTGCATTTTTGACCAACTAAATGCAGGCTTGATGAGAATAAGAGACTTCTTTCAAACATTTGAACGAGACTTATAAAACATTCAAAATAGTAATGTTTTAAAATATTGATATTAAATCACATATTATTGACAGAATGACTTTGAAGGATAATGTGTGTTGATTTTTAAGGACACTAAAGACACTTAAGACTGGAGTAATGGCTGATGAAAATTCAGCTTTGCATTACAGAAATATATAGAAGTTATATTTTATACATTGAGTTTATTATTTATTTAGATCTAATATATCTTTCTTTCTTTCTTTCTTTCTTTCTTTCTTTCTTTCTTTCTTTCTTTCTTTCTTTCTTTCTTTCTTTCTTTCTTTCTTTCTTTCTACTCTCTTTTGTTAAAATAAAGATGCAAGGCATTCATTGTTATTTGTAGTTTGTGCATTTAGGCTTATATAATGCGCGTTGTTTCCACAATTGATGTAAACAGTGTTGTTGTAACTTTAAGGTTTGGTGTGGTGTGGTCAAAGTCTTCATTATAATCGTTTTCTTCCCCAATCAAAAGCTGTCATTTGCAGTAATAGCCTACCGCACCCTATGATCTAGTGATCACATTCAACATACAATCTTTATAGCACATGGGGAACAACACTTCCTCCTTCAGCGTGAGAGGAAGTGTGGAGCTCAGGCCATTATAAACACAGATAGCGTTTTATTTTACCCATTACTCTTTAGAAAGGATTTGAGGAACACAAATGACTGAGAAGGCAAATCTTTCTTCAGGATCCATGCTTGCTTGCCTATATGCACACATACGTGGTTAGAATGAAGTTTCAAAGGGGCAGAGTTCATTTTTTTTATTTAAACACTGTCCACTAGAGGGCAACAGCGCTTTATGTAATACTTTTGCAATACAATTGTAATTTGTAATACTATTCTGATCCTTTAAGATTCAGTAAATATGAAATATGATTCGGCATTATGTATGCGTGTAATATCAAATCACATATAATCTATAGTTTACAGTCTTTAAATTTAGATTTTTTGGTTTGGGGGCACTATGGTCCAGTATTGTCCACAATGGTCTACTTGACAGTATGGTGGCCCTGAGTTTGTTATCAAAGAGGTTTAGATTTAGTGTTCTCCCTGTGAGTAAGGGTTTTTAGTAATAGATGAGCTCATGTGACAATAATGAAACTAGCTGCTATTCAAAGCCATTCAACTCTGTAAGTTTTCTTTTAATCTCTGTTTACCTTACATTGCACTGTCTCTCTTTATATTCCTTCCTCATCTCTCTTGTGCACCTGAAGGTCTGTGGTGCAGCGGATATTGTTTTATGTGTGAGAGAAAGACAGAGATGTTTGCTTGCGTCTGTGATAAATGGCATTGCCTGCCATTTGAGCAAAGGTATGGCCGCTCTGGCACACCCTGCCGTGGTAATTATTACAGACTCCATAGACCAGAGGTCCTGCATCAGACAAGGCGGAAAATTGAAAATATAAATGATTTATGGTGCTTAGAAGTCTATCTTCTCCTCTGTCTTTGTTGTCGGCCACAGAGCGTCAGATTCGATGTGATGTCCTTTAGTGTGGCGTCTTGCTCTTGTTCTTCAGTGATTAATCCATTTAGACACAGTGGAGTGGAACTCTCCTCACCATAGATGGATTGTTGGAGAGGAAGGGCTTGAGGAAAATGCTTGCAGTTTGTTTGAGGAGCAGAACAAACTGCTCCAAGGGTAAACTATGGCCCTGACTGCTGAGCAGCCTGGAGATAAGTTGGTTTGGCATTTCGACCTCCAAGTATCAGGGACGATGTTTGTCATTTTAACATACTGTAGCTGCGGCGACGTCAGAGCTCATGCTGCACAAGACTTTACACAGCTGTTACTGTAAATTACGATTGTTGTAAAGTAAGTTAATGGAAATTAAGAAATTAATACTTAATACAAGGAAGAACTCTTATAATTCAAAAAGAATAATCAATATTTAATCTGATTACTTAATGCATACTTGTAATGCACTACTATTCATTACATCAAAAAGTAATCTGATTATGTAAAGCATGTAACTTGTAATGCGTTACTTTACTCCAGACATCAGAAAGTAATCTGATTACATAATGCATGTTAATTGTAATTCATTTCTTTACTTGTAACATCAACAAAGTAATCTGATTACATAACGCATGTTACTTGTAATGCGTTACTTTACTCCTTACATCAAAAAGTAATCTGATTACATAATGCATGTTACTTTAATGCATTACTTTACTCCTTACATCAAAAAAGTAATCTGGTAACATAATGCTCGTTACTTGTAATGCGTTGCTACTCAATACATCAAAGGGAGCATCTCATTGAGTTTCCACAGTTGTACCTTGGCAGGTTGTAGAGATCTTTGATGGAATCACATCCTCATGTTCTGATATCGAAGATACACAACATTTTTTTATTTTTTATTTATATATTTTATAGTTTTTACATAGATCTATATTCAAGGTTTATTAAATACACAGTATTGCTGTATTATTACAGTATCTTTGGGTAAAACCATAAACGCATACTGTCCACTCAAGTGGACATCTAAAAATCTCAAATCAAAATATTATACCTTTGAACATGTATTAATTAGATATTATTCCAGACACTTTAGCTGAAAAATTTGTATAAATACAGTCATATATACTATAGGAATAGTAAAAAATACGTTCTTATGGTACCCCAGGTACCCTATCTCATTTTCACCTGTGTTATATTAAAAGCAGCATTATTTTACATACATTGTAGTCAGTGGAGCGCACGGCAACTTTGTACAGCGATGTCAATATGCCTGGTTGCACATTCGTTTCATGGTGGGGGGGGGGGGGGGGGGGGGTTGATCATGCCCTCATGATCAACTACCATGAGGGCGCCGACGCTTTGAGATCTTGACATTAGCTGTGACGTATAGCCTACTTGATGTAAACAAAAAGGTAAAATGTGAGACTACAGTCGTTTTCTTATTTGTAGAGTAATATTGTGATATACAATGTAATGCAAACGTGATTTCACTCAGATGTGAAAGGAATGGAAGCTGCTTGGACTTTCTCTAAAGCTGCTTTGAAATTTGAACGGATGTGAAAAGCGCTATACAAATAAACGTGAATTGAATTGAAAATGACCGCATTGACTAATGTATCCAGTTTTAACCGGTTTGGCACAGACCGACATTCGGTTATACGATTGACCTAGCTCTATGTGAGGAGGTTCATAATTTGTATTGACAGACAGTACAAATGAAACAGCAGCTGAGTTACAGGAAAAATATTAAAAACTGACCCAATGTTTTACATATTTTGTTTAGAAAAATAAATGCAACAAAGTCTCCAGTAGCTCTCTTCTAAATTACTGATTCTTTGTAATTGATGTCTATGAGAAACAAAGTTGCAACAAATTAGTCATTAGCTAAAACACTTCTTCTTTATCATGGTAAGATATCAGTTGGTATGCATAAAACAGCTACAGAGCAGAGGGGAGGAGCATATTGTGACTTTCCGATCCTGATTGGCTGAGCGATTGCGACTGACACTTCAGAATCCAGGCAAGACCCCGCCCCGTTCAAAGACATTGGCCTATGACTGATCTCTCCACTGCCCCCTTGTTTAGCCTGTCTGTGTAACGTTAGTCACAGAAAAGAAGAGAGACTCTCTTAACGCTATCTGCGAAATTATGAGTTAGTCTTTCATTGTTGTTGGAGTCAAACGGCACAGCTGGTTTATTATGTGGGAATCACGTCTACCAGGGCAGGTCAGTGAAACTTTGTGCAGTTTGTTGTTGCTTCATGCTCTGCTCCAAACTTGTTTCTAAGCTTGAAGAGTTAGAAGGAATGACGACTTGGAAATTTCTAGCAACTGTTATGAATGAATGTGTGTGTGTGTAACTGTGACATGTGAAAATCTTTCTGGTACCGATATGCCTTGACTCCTGTCTCACCCCAGTGTGAGAGGCTTTTGTGTCCATGTTGGAATGTGTGACCAACAGTGCACAGAGGAAAGTCAATGTGGATTTGGGGTCTTGTGTTTTTTTTTTTTTTTCAAATGTGCTAAACAGGCATGGATAGAATACACTACAATTTAATATTTTAAAATTGTACTTCAATTTACTATAAATGCTGTACACCCTTTAGTCTGACACTATCTCAGTTTGGCTAATTTTGTTTTCATTGGCTTGTGTTTTAAATGGCCCTGTTTATTGTTTACTTATCTCTTAGATTTGAAACGTGTCATTCATTAATCATAATGAGAGAGACTTTTGACCCTGAGCTTCTGGGAACTTAATGCTATCTCTCTAACATGTGTAAAAAGGCACATGAGAGAACAACTGCAGTGCTGGTTTGTTTGGTGAACACCATCCTGTCATAAATTGCCTTCAGGTGCAAAGTGCATTTGATCTGAAAACAGATCTTAATAAAAAAAAAAAAAAAACAGTCCTGTTGAACTGCACATCATGTTGGAAATGACGTTTGAAACTTACATGAAGACTGTCATTTGATAACACAGCCTATCCTAAAATGAAAGATGAATGGATTACTTTTGTTTGTGGCTTCATGTCACATGTTCACAATTCTTTAGGCTCATGCGTGTCCCAACACACATACAAGTGACTCCAGTGTCTGTAGCAGTTTTTCATAAAGCTCTAACCTATGTGGTTGCATAATATTTTTTTTTTGCTCTCCTCCCAAATGACGTTAGCTTTGTCTCCATGTCGAATTGAAATGGGCAGGAACTTGTTGGCAGGAAGCAACAGCTGATATCCCATCCAAAGAACATTCTCACTGACTTTTCCTCTCACATCATTGTGTATTTCTGTAGTTTAGTACGCAAAATACACAATATAAAATGTCTGCATAAAATATACCATATCTATGTCGAATATATAATATTGCTTCAAGACCATTTTTCTTGTTTTACGAAATGTTTATTATTTGTCTTGGCAATATACTGAAAAGACAAAAAAACAAAAAACTGAAAATGAAAGTGAGGTACACTTGTGCTTGGCTTGTCTAGCAGAGCACTCAAAGTTACTCAATGTACTGCAGTTATTTTCTACAGTTCACTGTATGGCCCGTGTCCTCCTTTAGATAATTTACATCAAGATTTGTTTATTAAAAGCCGCTGAGAGCCAATGATCACATATATTTATCTTTTTATCAGAGCTTTTGTTTTGTTTCCTCTTCATCTCAAAGAGAGCTGCTGCAACGCATTCTCACCCCAAGGCGTCACCTTTGACCATGCTTCAATATTTGACGTTTTAGGCGCCCTTTAGTGTCAGTAACATGACGCGATCCTACGCCGTCATCTAACTGACGCTAAAGGAAAGCCTCAGTTACTGAAGATGATGCGGTTAGGTTTAGGTCTGGGGTGGGGGTAGGGTTCCACGCGATCCTAGGGCGTCATCTAACTGACGCTAAAGGGCGCCTAAAGTGTCAAATATTGAAGCATGTTCAAAATGCTTCCCAAGGCGTCAGTTAGGTGATGCCTTGGGGGTAAGAATGACAAACATATTGTATATTGATGAGCAAACTGAAGACAAACTATTCCCTGGGTAGAAGTAAATGGTATTTCCCAAATTCCCATAGTTTTAAATGATAGCTTAGTGTTATTGTATATGTTTGGTAACTTTTAAATAGAGTATGTTTCCGGTTTAGTTCACTTCAGCCAAATGAGGAATTAGCCTAGTTTTTCTCTCTGCTGTACAGCACACGGAACAGACGTTTGTCTGTTAAATCACACGTGTTAAATAAATCTTGAAACAGTAAATATACTTTTGAATGCTCCATTCTGAGATTGTAAGGGTTGGGCTAGAAGAATATATCTAAAGAATCATAAAAATGCAATTTTGTACCAACGGAGTGAGCTGATTCACTGCCCCTCTCTGATCTCTTCAAAGCTGGCTCTAAAGGGCAGTGCGCAGGTGGGAGACACACATGAGATACGACAGTCATAAATGTTCACCTACACACAGAAAGAGTGAATGAGTCCTTTCTTCCACTAGGAACCTATCTACCTGTACCAATATTGTTTAGACAACCCACTAGCTAGACCGTCCTTTATATTTACAGTAAACAAGGTCATCATAGACAAAATATTCTATTATGTGTAAAATGTATGGCTGTAATTTTTTTGATCGGGGGAAAATTGGAGTGTCATATACCAGAATTGGGACGGAGTGAGTTTAATTGGAGCATTTTAAAGTAATGCCTACTGTATAACCCGAAGAGCCAAAATGATTTCAGCTGAAAAAAAGAGCCAAAATGATTTCAGCTGAAAAAAAGGAAGTTATTGGATAGATTTGATATTACAAAGACAACTTTTTCCCCTTTGAAACCATTTGCAGCGACAAATCATTCAAAGGAAGACCATAAATGTCAACATACACTGAGAAAGTACACAATGCCAATCTCACATTGACTGAAAGAAAGTCCTGATTATTATCTTCTTGGTGTGAGAGACCAATGTGTCCTTGAGCAAGACACTTAACCCCTAGTTACTCCAGAGGCGTGCGACCTCCGACATAGCAATTCGTAAGTCGCTTTGGATAAAAGCGTCAGCTAAAATGAATACATTTTCGGAGAGCAGTGACGTTGTAGCGAAGAATGATTTGAAACATACCAGTGTTGTCTCTTTGTTTGAGAATGGATTTTAGGATTTTATGTCTACTAAGGATTGAAGGACCGAGTTTGTTTCTCCGAGTTAAGCAGAAGCTTCTAAATGTAGCTGGACTGGAAAAGGTTATGTCATAACGAGTTCAGATTTAAAGAGTTGCCAAAAGCCACACCTCACTGTTGAACTTCTCTCATGTAAAATGGGAATTTCAGACGTTTCGGCTTCTTTCGAGTCTGTAGCACACATCATTTCTCTTCCACACATTTTAAAGGCTCATTATGCGATCAGATTGAACAGACCAGCTAGTATCTGTACCAGCCATTGAGAGTAGAAAATGTTCCATTATGTTTAATAGAAGGTTTTGTGGGGTAGTTAGAGAGAATGTGTGCTTGGCAGCAAAATCACTGCAGTCTAAAGGAAAGCAAGTCTTTCTGAGTCAATTCGAGAGCGCAGCCCTGTGTGTTTCCTCTTATTTTCTCTAATAATTATATTTTTGTTGTAAGTAGTGTTGGTGGTTACATATTGTTTTGGTGAACTTTACTTGTTGATGTGAATTGTGTTGTGTTAGTAACAAGCAGTGACTCAGATTTTTCTATAATAATATTGAGTTATTATTTTTCCCTTTTTGTACTTTATACCATGTTTCTCTATATTGTTTCCTTCGCATTTTTCCGTCACTGTTGGTGATGATTTTGTTTGTCTTCAGTGATATGATCACTCTGTTGTGGTATCATCATCTCACCTCCCACTCTATAGTTTAACTGTATTTATAGTTTCACATGGGTCACCATTTCTTGTCACCTTCAGATCTGAATTTATATTCAACCTCTCAATTATACTACTAACTGGCAGATTGATATTAAAGGTAATATGAAGGAATGAGCAGTGAACAGCTTCATGGATTCTGTATTTCTTTTGGCGTTTGGGGAATTGTCTTGGTTTTGCTCCCAGTGGTATTACAGAAAACAGGATGTGGCCTCATTTTTAATAACGGTTTTTGTGAGAGAATGACACTGATCTGATCTTGTGTGTATTATTAGAAAAATATTCACTAAAGGGACCTCATGCTCCACAGGAGAAGACATTTGACCTCTGATCTTTGGCCTGATCGAAAGAGGAAATGTTTTAAATAGAAATGAGCAAACTAGGTCGTCAAGATTTGGATGGTTAGCAGCATGGGTTAGTAACTGTTTTACAATGTCATTTACTGTGCTTGCAAAACAAAATTATCAGCAGTCATTACTCCAGTCTAGTCTTAAGAGTCAATATGCTGAATTGGTGCTCCAGAAACATTTCTTACTGTTATCAATGTTGAAACAATTGTACTGTTTAAAAAAACATCCTAGGCCTGCATTTTTGGAGGAATATGAAGTTCAATAGAACAGCACTTGTTTTAAATAGACATTTTTTTGTAACGATACAATACTGTTACCGAATAATATGATATAGCCTAATATAATATATAATTACAAAGGTTTTTATGATTAAAAAAGAACATTAAATTACATTATCATGTTACACAAATGTACCAGGCAAGCACAATTGAAACATGACACTTGGTTAATTTCTGATTGAAAAAGACATAACCAACGAATTAGAGCTGGTTTTGCTTCAGATCCCAGAATTGAAACACAGTACTGGATTTGTTTATCATTTGAAATTGAATTTCAATATTTCATGCACTTGGCAGTCAATGATTAACTACACAAAACAAATTATTGCTTGGCACAAACCAAATTTATCGTTATTGCTAGTAAATATTTCAAGAACGAGTGCATGTTACACAGCCTGAATGTGATAAAATTTAACTCATTTTACTTGCTACAAATTCACAAATAAGTTTGATCAAAGAGACGTACTTTGACGTAAACAGCAAAATATTGTCTCCTTCCTTTTTGCTAAACAGTTTGCAATACTAATTATGAATGGTTATTTGTTTAGTTATTATATTCCGAGGATATTTAGTATTTTCTTTCCTTTCTACAATAGATGAGAACCATATCTTTAGGGTATTGACTGGACGTGTGTGTTCAAACAGGCAATGATGGGCCTTCAGGCTGAAGAGTGCTGAATATTTCAGTGAGCCCATAAGAAGGAAGTCAATCGGATAAAAGCAGACATGAGTGACGCTGTGGAGAACCTGGACACCAGGGAACTGGGGTTCTCAGATACTGAGGATGAACCTGAAGAGGTGGACTCAGAGTTCAACCCCTCAGGTGAGTGATTATTATTATTATTATTTCAGACCCATATAATCCATTTGGATGTTTGGATGTGGATCAGTTTTTTTTATGGGTAATTGGAGATAATACTAGAAGGCTAGTTGACTACGGTCTCTTTGTCTGTCATTGGATTGTATTTGATTGTTGATCCATTGAAGTAGGTTGTCACTTTTTCTGTCCTGGTATATTATTGGCCACTATTGATTGTAAGAATTTTCTCGTTGGCTACTTTGTATTTTAAATAAAAATAAAAAATAAACAAAAACCTCACTTTTTTTTAAGGTTTTATAACCTCACCTGATAAAGGTTGCATAAATTGAACTTTATAATAAATTAAGATTTGGAAACTATATCAATGTGTGGGATACGTCTATTTAGTTAGTTAGTTTATTTTGCCAATAATTTTTCAGACAGGAAGTGAAAAAGGGTTACAATAGGTCTGTCTAATCAGGGATCTGGGCCATGTGTGACATGTGTAAAAGAGAGGCATGTGAGGACAACTGTGTAACATGATGCAGCACGTCAAAAGAAGTATTTAGCGCACACACACAACAGAGCTCACATTCCCCGCAGGCATGCCTCAGTCCGCACTGTTGTTTTCCTATAGGAGCTTCCTGCATCCCTTTCTCTGCCGTGTACAGGACGGTTGGCTTTAAAGAGACCGATGCGCAAGTCTACCTGACCGCTGTCCCCATCACTGCCAAGATCCTAGAAGTGGAACGCTTCACCAGGGCTCCAGACCGCTTCAAAATCTCTAAACACAGAGGCGTGTCCAAGGTCTGTCTGTTCTAAGGTTGAATAGTTAAAACTAGTTATAAGGTTGAAAAACGTCACAGATCTCACATCACTGTCGTGTCCACAGGCAATGCCAGCAGTGTTTAAGATAGAGCTCAAACATGGGAACTTCACCTGGATAGTCAAGAGAAAAGAAAAGCACTTCATGGAGCTGCACAGAGAGCTTCTGCGATACAAGACCCTCATGAGGATCCCACTCCCCACCAGAAGGTCAGACCCCTGCCCTATAGATAAAGCCATTAATAAGCATTTGTAGTGTAAACGCTACATACACACTGGACAACACAAAAGATGGCCTACCCCACCTTCTCCACCTATATGTCCTCTGGAAAAAAAGTAGGGGTGTAACCCCAGCATCGTTTTTTATCATACAGTTGTTACACGGATGGATGTAATGGGTGCGTCAAATTGATTAAAAGTGACAGTGAAGACTTTTATAATACAATACTGAAAAATATATATATTACTTAACATTAACATATTAAGCAGCAAAACTGTTTTCAACATTGATAATAATGAGAAATGTTCCCTGAGCAGCAAATCAACATATTTGAATGATTTCGGAAGGGTCATGTGACACTGAAGACTGAAGTAATGATGCTAAAAATTCACCTTTACCTCCACAGGAATAAATTGCATTTTAAAACGAAATATTAAAATAGAAAATAGTTATTTAAAATTGTAATAACATTTGACAATATTACTATTTTACTTCATTTTTTCTTTTTTAAACAAATATATGCCGCCTCGGTGAGCATGAGATACTTCATAAACATTACAAAAAAATCGTACAGACCCTTTGAATGGTAGTATACATATGGCTGTTTTAATCTCTCTACACTTAATTTTTGAATAGGGGGGCACAAATCAGCAAAAATAATTTTTAAAGTTAAGATTGTTGCTGCCGACTTTTGCATCAAATAGTTTCTTTGTGTCTTTAATTCGAAGTCTATTTCAGCTTACATTTGCTGATTGTTAATATGGCATTTAATGGCATAAATGTGAAAATATGTCAATTTGTGAAGAATATTTCCCTTCCAGTTTAATTATCTTAAAATCTGAGGTAATTCATTTGAGATACATGGGATTTTAACTTAAGTCATGAGAATGCTCCACCCAGGATCACATGATTATAAATCAGCAAGCTACTTTCTTATCTTATTCTAACAGCCTTGTGAAAAAGCGGTAATGCGTCTCAGATGACCACTTGTGATTCAATGGCCCTAGATGACTCTTAACACCAGCAGATCAGTTAATATTCTTCTCATTGTCATAGAAGCTATCATTCTCACTCTACACTCACTTGTTTTCCTAAGGATTATTTATTATTAGGGCCCAAGCCCTGAAAGGGCGAAGGCCCTATTGTTTTCCTAAGAATTATTAGGGCCCAAGCCCTGAAAGGGCGAAGGCCCTATTGTTTTCCTAAGGATTATTTATTAGGGCCCAAGCCCTGAAAGGGCGAAGGCCCTATTGTTTTCCTTGGGATTATTTTTCTTTACTATTATTATTATTATAATAATTATTATTTTACTACCTTTTGGGCACTTTTGGGGCCCTTAACGTGCTCGAAAACTCTTGAAACTTTGCACACGGGTCAGAACCCCGCGGCCATCAGAGCCGGGCTGAAGCTGTACCCGGGCGTGGTAGGGCGGCTCGTCAGCGCCCCCTGGAACGGGGTCCGAACACTTGGTCCATAACTCAAACACGCTTGTATGTAATAATATGAAACTCGGTACACATGTTGATCTCATCGTTTCATCTATACCTCACACTCTTACTTTTTACCCCAGCCCAACAGGAAGTCGGCTATTGAGGTTTGTTTGTAAAACGCTCGCAATGGAATGTCATATACTCCTCCTAGAGCTTTGATCCAAATTCGACGAAACTCGGTCAGCGTGAAGTCAAGACATTGAGGATGAAAGTTTGCGAGGGGATTTTTTATATCTCGAACGGTTTGTCCGTGGCGAGGAAACGAAATCATGGCGAGAAACGTGAAAACAGGAAGTGTGTTATAACTTCAGCATACATTAACGGATCTTGATGAAACTTCAGCAGTGTGTTCGCTGTAAGAGGACGATCACATGGAGTGACTATTGTGAGTCAAAGTTATAGCGCCACCAACTGGCAGCAGGAAGTGTGTCACTTTCAAAATGCTTTGATATCACCCTTTTATTTTTACCCGATTTGCTTCAAACTTCATATGTGAATGTAAAGATACGGCAGATGTAGACCTGTGAATGGATTCTTGATATCTTTGAAACTGTTGCCGTGGCGACGCATCAAACTTTACCCTTCTTTTAGGATGCTTTTTGGATGCTTTTGAGACCCTTAGCATGCTTCAAATTGCATGAAACTCGACAGACACATCACATTTATTAGCCAGTAGACATGTGCAAAGTTTCAGAAAACGGGCGTGGTGAGGGCTCAGTAGCGCCACCTTTTGACAAAAGTGGGGTTGTTATTTTTAACTAGAGTTACAAAAATTGGTATGTATATTGTACTCCTCGAGCCGGACAACTTTCTAATTGACACTTATTAGCTAGGACCCACAGAAAGTCAGAAATTTTTGTTTGAATATGGCCACTCTGAGCCTACATGTCTCTGTGTCTCTGTGTCTTTGGCTGGCTGGCTGGCTGGCTGACTGGCTGGCTGACTGGCTGGCTGTCTGTGTGTGTGTGCAGGGGGAGGGGGCTTAACCATTTCACTGCTGTGTGTATGACCTGCATAAAGAAAATACATTTCTCAAGCCTGGTATTTTTTAAATAAGTTTTTATTTTTATTTTTTATAAGTAAAGGCATATAACTAGTTAATTGTAGTGAATTGACAAATAGTTTTTATATAATTAGTTATTAATCAGATTAACTTGGGTCAATAAACTTGGTCTGAAAATTTGGTCCATAAATCAAACACACTTGCATGTAATAATATGAACTTGGTACACATATAGATCTCATCGTTTCATATATACTTCACACTCTTACTTTTACCCCAGCCCAACAGGAAGTCGGCTATTTAGGGTTGTGTTTAAAACACATGCAATGGAATTTAATTAGTGCTCCTAGAGCACTGAACCAAATTCGACGAAACTCGATCAGCGTGAAGTCAAGACATTAAGGATGAAAAAGTGCCACGGGATTTTTGATATCTCGAACGGTTTGTCCGTGGCGAGGAAACACAAAAATTATGGCGAGAAACATGAAACAGGATGTGTGTTATAACTTCAGCATACATTAACTGATCTTGATGAAACTTCAGCAGTGTTTTCGCTGTAAGAGACCGATCACATGGATGTGACTATTGTGAGTCAAAGTTATAGCGCCACAAACTGGCAGCAGGAAGTGTGTCACTTTCAAAATGCTTTGAAATCACTCTCTTATTTTTAACCGATTTGCTTCAAACTTCATCTGTATAATGTAAATACACGGCAGATGTAGACCTGTGAATGAATTTTTGATATCTTTGATACTGTTGCCGTGGCAACGAAACAAACTTTAACATTCTTTTTTGATGCTTTTGGGACTCTTAGCATGCTTGAAATTGCTTGAAACTCAACAGATACATCACATTTATTAGCCAGTAGACATGTGCAACTATGGCAAAAGATTAAAGTAATGTGAAAAAACTAAAAGCCTCATATCTTCTAAAAATGTAATTATACATCATTTGTTTCTAAATTAAATTATACAAAATATTATAACTTCCCCAATTTTTCCTTTTTTCATTTTAAGAATTATGTTTACGTTAAAACAGCCAGAATTGTTGTAAAATTCAGAAAAAAAATATAATCTGAGTCATACGTAGTGCTATACTGCCCTCTTGTGTTCAATATCAGTAGGCCTATTGTGTATATTCCCACCGGTTAATCAACGTGTGACTCCGCTGGGACTTGGGGAGCTTTTTAAATCGCTTACTTAAAACCGAAAGTCAAAATACGGATGTCCGCACAAAGACATTAATGGTGTGGAGTAGAGCGAGCATTTTAAATAAATTCCTATTAAGTAGGATTGAACTAAACAGAA